ACGTCACGGAATCGACGTCACCGGACTCCTCCCCCCTTCCCTTCGTTAGCCGACGGAGCCACAGTTACAAAATACGGTCGCTGGGAGAGAGGCAATGAGGAAAAGCTTTCTCCTGCCTATATCTCAGCTTAATTAAAGTCTGTTGTCTGGAGCACAAGGACTGTTTTTTAACGGACAAGCATGTTGCTGTATATTGTAACATGTCAGCAATTTTTGGATGCAGACTAATGAAGCTTGTCCAATTTCCCCCAATTTACGCCATCCCCTCATACAAGGTCATAATTAATTCTCCAATGATGCGGCTAGCATCAGGGTAGCACAATGATCATCTGACTATGTACTGGCTAAAACTGTTGGGCAGAACTGGCAATCCTGGTTGAGATATCTAATTATTGGAGTTTCTGAGAGGTAATATCAGGGCCATCAATGGCAGTCCTTTATCGGTCCCCATCGGACATCGACGTCAACGGACTTCCCTTCGTTAGCCAACGGAGCCACTTGGGCCGGTGAGTACTTGTTCTGCACGAGCGCCAGCAAAGGCATTGGCCTATACACATACAGCACAGCAATGAAGTAATAAAATGAACTAGGATCACACTAATCCAGCACGTTATTATTCTGAGTTGCCCCACTCAAGCGGCGACCATATTGAGTGGGGCAACTCAGAATAATAACGTGCTGGATTAGTGTGATCCTAGTTCATTTTATTACTTCATTGCTGTGCTGTATGTGTATAGGCCAATGTAGTTGGATCTGTATGTGCGTTTATAATCGAAATTAATCGATTAAAAAAAAATGTGATTAATCGAACACGAAAATTTTAATCATTACCAGCCCTAATTGCAACTATTTTCTGCGTGAATTGGTGCATTATCTGACACATACAGGGGTGCCATTATTTTTCACTGATCTATATATTGCAGCAACTTCCCCCAATGCAGGCTGGGGGTGGCTACAGGAGGGGGAGGATACAAGACCAGCTGCAAAAGGAGAGGTGGCAGCAGTGACGGGTCTTTTACAGGAAGCTCCTGCACAAAGGTGAAGTGCAGGATTTGTTTCATACTGGTTTACTACACAGATCTGGAAGAAATACAGAAAAGACACCAAGATTTCAGAAGGAATACCAATGGGTTTTGTATTTAGACCATATTTGTTTAGCCCAGAATGTCAAAACATATGTTTCTTTAGAGAATGCTAAAGTAGATGAAATAGTTTTTTTTTTTTAAATATATATATATATATCAGCATGTAGTTTCTATAAAATGACAATTAATTTTCTCTGCAGCTAGTTGCCGCTTCCTCTGAAACTTGCAATTCACTTCACTGTCCCATGACAGCTGACTGTAGTTGGCACACTATTCTCTGTTTTGTGCTCTGTCATTTCCCTGTAATATCCTCCTGAGGATGTATATTTTGAATTTGTATAGACTCATTCCATGCAGACGTAAGAACGTGTTAACATTTGTGCAGGTGCTGTAGAGAGAGCGAATGTGAGCGGGCGACAGAACCTCATCGTTTTACGAGCGATCTTAGCCAGTGCGTGCGCCTGGAGGTGACTCCTAACAACGCCTCTGTCAGTGTACCTGAACTGCTGGTAAGGAGCAATGCAAATGCTAATTCTGCCTTTTGTAGTTTCGATGTCAGGCCAAATAAAAACTCAAATTTGAATGTGCTTACCATTAACATATATCTGCATTTCCCTGATAAGATGGCATCTGTATGTCTTTCCGCAGCTTAACCTGTCTGTGCACAATGTCCCTGATCTCTCTTCTGGTGTTACCTGTGTGTTCGGGGACATGGCGGAAAGTGAGGCCATTCTGGTGGATGAAACTATTCAGTGCTCCTCCCCCTCGCTGCGTGACATTCCTGGAATCACAGGAGGGCAGGGTGAGTTTCTCTGCTCTGGATCCAAACCAGCACCACTCCATATAATGATTCAAAGTGATGCAAGCATTGTCTTCATTTATGTTACCATTACACTGATATGTATGGACAAAGTAGCCAGACTGTAATTATGCCTGAAAGTTTTCAGATGGGTCCAAATATTAGTTTTTCTTTAAAAAAAAAAAAGAATTCCAGGTAATTGAAAAAATTAACCCTTGCAGTGGGGGCTGTCCCCTCACTGCAAGGGTTAACTGCTCATTTCATCTAGGGGCTAAAAGAATAATAATTTAAAAAAGCTTACCTGATCCTGAGGCCCGCTTGGCTTCTGGACTGGTCCCCGCAGCCTGCAACTTCAGCAGACCTGAGGACACCGAGGGACATTCCACCTACACAGAGGAAGGTGAGAGGTGATCGGTCACCACCGCAGGACAGGATCAGGTGAGTATATTTTCTTTACTTTAGCCCCTAGACCAAAACTAGCATTTAACCCTTGCAGTGTGGGGATAGCACCACTGCAAGGGTTAATTTATTCAATGACCAGGAGTTTTTCTTTAACTTCCCTTCTAAAGTCAGTAGATGTACCTGACCCCTAAGTGGTCAATCACACAGGCACCCGGGGCTGTACAATGTAATTGTGGTATATTTTACTGCCAGGAGCCACAGATCCTGCAAACAGCAGAGAAATGCCCCCAAATTATACTTTGTATTGCCACAGGTGCCTGTGTGCATGAGCCCCAAAAATCTAACTGACTCCCCGAATTTGTCTGTCTCCTGTCTACCACAATTTCTAATATTAATAATATTTCTATAATGCTTTCCTCCCTGGGGACTCGAAGCGCTGATCAGATTGGTGTTGGCATATTTGATGAGAAGGATTTTCTGAAACATCCAGAGAGGGAGCTGCCTGGACAATGGATGGCAGTGTGGTCTATGTTGTGGGTGCTACATGATAGTGTGCACGAGATCCAAAACATTTTAAGATTACTCTGGGCATGTGACATTTTCTTCTCACTGAGGAGTGAAGGGAGCGTGTGGGAATATGGGTGACCAGAGTGATTGCCATTCACACAATACTCAGTTACTCGATCCCAGTATTAATAGATTAGATTGTATTCTGCTTCTTTTTCTCTCATTCCTCAGTACAGCGTTTCATCATTGTTGCATTTGATATCTTTCCACTGTACTGTTTCTAGTCCATAATACTTACATATTACTATAAGAATGCATTGCATCCCAAATCCTCTGCTTTGTTTGTCTGATCTTCAGACTTTGGCATTACTAGCAGTAAAATGCTATTCCTGTAATATGCACATACTCTGCTTAGGCCCTACGCCACATGACTCTGCATCCTGCATTGCTTCCTCCCTCTCTATACTGTGTTTGGCTGGAGTCCTGCTTTAGGTTTCTTTGTTAAATTTTATCCTGTGTTTATTCCAGGAGCTCTGCACACAGTCCAGCTACACCTGAAGTCCAAGGAGACAGGTCTGAGGTTTGCCAGCACCGACTTTGTCTTCTACAACTGCAGCGTCCTTCAGTCGTAAGCTTCCTTCTCTACCTCTTTGGTTCCCTCATTGTTGTATATCCTAATCCTAATGTCTTAGTAGCTTTCCTGGTCAGTGAATGAAGTGCCTGTTGAAGTATCTTCTATTAGCTTCTGACTGGCAGTTAGATGTAAAGGTGCCCATACACTGCTCGATTCTCGTACGAGAATCGCGGGAAATCCAGCGATCGTACGAGAATCGAGCAGTGTGAACGAAGACGTGCGACCGTTTCTACTGTACGGTCTAGCAAAACAAATGACAAACGTTTCTACTGTACGGTCGCACGTCTTTTGTCTAAGGAGCACGCTAGAAAACCAGCCGAAAATCGTACGATTTTCGGCTGGTTTGAACGGTGCTCGGGAGACAAATGCCGAACGGGCCGGTGTGCGCACGCGCACACTGCCCGTTCAGCATTGCGGTCATCGGAAGCCCGCCCCTCGGGGGCGGGCTTGCGATGATCGAGAGTACGATCCAAGATGGGCAGATCGTACGTTTTTTTTTTAATCACTTTACAACCATTGCAAGACTAAGGTCTTGCGATGGTTGTACAGTGTATGGCCACCTTAAGATTGTATCACCAATTAGTGAGAATTGTTAATTAATGAAGATAACTGCCCATCTGGCTATTTCGAGTAGAATGAAAATGGGTGAAATCTCATGTATTTTAGCCCAAAAACATAAAGCATTTTAGATACAGTTTGCCATTTTTTATTTGTCATTTATTGGGATAAAGGGAATTTCTATAAAGAGGCGTTTTCAAGCAGATGAACAGGACAATAGCATTAATGTTGGAGTACCTGTTAAGTACATGCTGTGGCTTCTGACACTGAGCTGAGATACAATTTCCTTGCTAGTAGCAGGTTTTAACCCTTTACTACTGAATCCAAACTTAATAAAAAGATTAACATCTCCAATTAAAAATTGTATAGTTTGATATGATTAGAACATGTATATAAGTTTGTATTGTATGTTAAGCATTCCACTATGTTGTCTTGGCAGGTGTCTTTCTTGCGTGGTTAGTCCTTATGCGTGCCACTGGTGTAAATACCGTCATATTTGTACACACAATGCCGAAGAGTGCTTCTTCCTGGAGGGACGCGTGAACAGCACTGATGTATGTATTCCTGGCTAGAATCTGCCTGCAGTGGAATAAATTGTAGTTTTACTGCACAGGGCCAAATCAGCTGGAGCAAAAGCCCATGCTGTAGGGAGGGGTAAAGAAAGGGGGGCAAAGAAAGTGGCATAAAGGAACACATTGTTGAGCTATTGTAACAGCTAGGGACAGCTCAGCTGTGCCCAGTAATTTAAATGAAAAGCACAGACAGAGAATCCAAAGGTAAAGTGAAACGCAAACCAAAACTAGTTTTTAATCGGAACGATTTCTGTGACTATTGCTACGGGAATGAAAGTGATGAGAAGTTTCACCAACAAAGACAAAAGGTTGTAATTAAACCTCCCAATGAGGAGATTTCCCTGAATTCTTGTTCTGGTATCTGCTGCATCCAGAACAGGAAATGATGGTGGTATCCCCAGTGAGGACACAGCAACTGAAAGCTAACAGAGCTCCCACCTTTTCTCCACTCTATCCAAATCATATAAGTAACCAAACATAATTTGAAGGCTTACTACTTTTTGATGATTTTTATTGAGTTTGTATAAATATGGAAAGTTTACAAATGGATTGTTGGCTAAAGCTGGCCATATACCTATAGATTATTTGCAGATTTTCTATGGTCAGATGGAAAAAGTGCAACAGATTCCTCCATCTATGCTAAACTGTGTGGATGGAGGAATCTCCCACTGGGCCAAGCTTCAGTATCTTGCTAGTCGGCCCCGCTGACTATTACAATACCTGATTGGATGCAGACATTCTTCAAGTATTTTGACAGCCAGTGGGGCCAAATAGCAAGTTACTGAAGCTTGGCCCAGTAGGAGATTCCTCCATCCACATAGTTATCCACACAGTTTAGCGTAGATGGATGAATCTGTTGCACTTTTTCCATCTGACCACAGAAAATCTGTAGATAATCTATAGGTGTAAGGCCAGCTTTTACTCTAAAACAATGTCACCATTTGTCCCTGCTGAAGCTGAACTGCTAATATTTCCTTGGTAGCTTATGACGCCATTGGGGTGGCCTTTAAGCTGTATGATGCCAAACCTTTCAAAGATTTAAAGCTTTCTTCAGAGGTAGTCAATTGTAATTGATACCTAGTTGCTGGTGTTGTGAATCACCCACTGACTTCTTACTTCTTGAGCACCACAGTGGCGCGGTCTCTGGAATGCAGGCACCCACCTACTCCTGCCCTTTCAAAGGAACCTCACTTTCTCCTTTAATGTCCATTTCTTATTAAAGAGATCAGGGAAGGTGAACCTCCATGGGGAAGTGGGTGGTGTTTGGATGTCCAGCTAGGACATTTCACTCGAGGTGCAGGAAGCCAGTGGGAAATTCTCATTACCCATACTTGGAGTGGACTGACCCTTTTATCAGGTGGTATGTATTCTGAGAGTAACTGCTTTGTGCTTTCCTGCCGTTTAAAAAAAAATATTATTTATATTTTTCTGTGTGTGCTACCGTTTTGTTCATTATGTATCCATTTCTTTTACCTTTACTGACTGTCAGAACGTGAGAATCTCACTGATCTAGAAGTGTCAGGGGTTGGAGGAGCAGTGGGTTTTAATCTGCAGCGCCTGACTTCCCATCCCCTCGCACCTCGTCAGGGGGTGTCAATCGTTCATGAACAATGCTATGTACATCACTCTTAAATCCTATGCAATGTGCAATACAGTTTCAAGAAGAATACTGAAAAGGTGCTGTTGCTCATGCCTATTCAAAGAGCTAAATTTGCAAATCACAGATGTGACTATTTCAAGTGCAGCTTCCTATCTCTAGCAAAATTGGTATAATCATCTTTCTAAATGGCATTCATTAGGAGAGACAGGCGTTTGAAAAGTTTTAATAATGCCCATCTCTGCTGATCTGAATGACTATCACCTTTCTTTCTATATAGAAGGAGCAGGCCATAGACAAGGTAATTGGACATATCCTCATCTTTCTCCCTTAAAAGGAGCTTGGCTAAAATAATTGAATTTGCTACGTAGGCAGATGTTTTTGCTTTTTTTTCTTTCCACTTAATTCGTTAGGCCTCATTCACACATATACGCGCGTATATAAGCGTACACGAGCATAGTACCATATGCAAATAAATGGCTCCATACACATAGCTGCGTATGGAGCCGTATATTTGCGTAGCGTAAAAATGTGCAAAAACAGAATGGACCCGAGATGCGTCCGGGCTGCGTATTTACGCACATATACGCGTGTTTGCGCGCATATAGTTAAAGTGACATTAAACCCTCAGATTTTTTAACATAAAACAATACTGTAATGTGTGCCTTACTGTAATCCATGGTTGTTTCCCTTCTCTTTGATGCTCTTCCTTTTAAATCTGTATCTTTTCTCATGCTTGGAGAGAACTTCCCTTTTCAGCTCAGGGCCTCTTCCTGTAGTGCTGGCTCAGGTTACAGCCTATAGAAACGTATACACAGACACCGTTTGAGACAAGGCAGTCTGCTGAAAAGGGAAGTTCTCTCCAAGCATAGAGAACAGATACAGATTTAAAAGGAAGAGCATCAAAGAGAAGGGAAACTACCATGGATTACAGTAAGGCACACATTACAGTATTGTTTTATGTTAAAAAATCTGAGGGTTTAATGTCACTTTAACATCTCGATTACAAATGATGCATTGTGGGATTGCAAATAGTGCACGCATATATGCACATACGCTCGTATATACGCAATATACAATTTTGCTCTTGCGTTGTGTGTGAATGAGGCCTCAGTCGTTGCGTCTGTTTGTTTTTGCTCTCTACACTGTATAATAAGGAAAATAAATAGAACATAAATAAAAAGCTTTCATTACTTCTTTTGTTCCATTATCCTTTGTATAGGCTACTGGAGCACATATAGTGAAACATATTGAAAGTTTACTGGTAGCTAATCCATTTCTTCCTTGTGAAGGAAGAATGTATTAATAATAATAATTTTTATATGTGCGGCACAAAGTGGTCATGTGACCATTCCATTGTTTGCTAATAAAAAGGTCCCATCTAGCAAGTTTTGAACCTTTTTAGGTTTGCCATTAAGTAGCTTGTATGGGAATGCATGAAGGCTGGTGATACAAAGAATGCACAAGGTTGACTTCTTCACTCCCATACCTTACCATATGATATGTTTAAAAATGGTGAAGATACACTTCAAGAGTACTTGTTCTTTGTAAACTGTGTAGAGGGCAGAAGCTTTTTTTCTTTTATAGCTAAGGTTAAAGGAAACCTGTGGCCCGCCATTACTTACCTCCTCCTGAAATGTTAGTGGCCTGGCTGCTGGGGCAGCCATAAAGCCAGTGACTGAGGCTCCTGATCTATGTACTTTTTTTTCATGTCATTGACCTAAGCTTGCTATACAGTGGTTGAATTTCATTCTGACTCGGACCACCCAAAAAGGGGCTGAAATGGCAACCTTTAGTGTTAAAGCTGTTGGATCATCGTGACATTGAGGCAGCTCCTATTTCCAAAAGGAGGTTAGAAATGGTAGACCCCAAGTTTTTTTAGGACAGGTATTTATTAAGAGCCAATGACAATAAAGAGGCCTGCTCACTAGCAAAAATTGGTAAGCTGATGTGTAGCGTGGCCATCTATTAACTGGCCACTGCCAAGATTGATCAAAACAAACATGGGTACTCAGTCTGTGAGCATCCTGAAAACAGAGACCTGGCACAGATGCACGTAATCATGCTAAATCTACACATCTCCTCTCACACACTGTTGTAGATTTGCATGCACGCAGCCCTTAGCCTAGATGTAACCCACATCAACCAGCTCTGGGTTAGCAGCGAGAGATGATGTGTTGCCATGGCAACAGGAGCCTTCCTGAGGCGTCAAGCTGTAAGTAGGCAGAAGGCCACATGGTCCCTCATCTTTTGCTGCACATCTCCCGGGGGCACCAGGGGGGAAGAGCCGCTGTGCAGAGAATAAGAGAGGAAGTGTCTGAAAACATCTATGCGGATTAATGCACCACGCAGCTGTAATTGAATCACCACATACATACATTCATACCATTACTGCGTATACAGCACTGCATATAAAATTCTACCAAACTGCTGACACACATCATTCTGCTTCTCTGATATCTTCTCACATCCCCCTGACTCCTTTTGCTATGAAACCTGTTGACTTTATTTAAAAATCAATGAATTTGCGTGGGGACCTTATTTCTAAAGGAGAACCCTCAGATTATTTAGGGAATAGACAGATTTTGTCATTAGTTATCAACCCCGTAAAAATAAATATTCAATATCCTTTATTTTGATGTTAATTGCTTAAACATGACTTGCAGAGCACATCCCGTTCTCATTATCGCAGTGGAAATTATTCTTCTTTTTCTGTAATGTGTCCAAATATCTTCCACGTTAAATCCCTGCTGTCATTCAGGCTGAGTTTGCATTGAGTTGGTTTTAGGTCACACTTAATTTGTTCTTAAAAGGAGTTGAGGTGTATTGTAGATGCAGATTCAGTGCAGAGGCTTTCTTTCAGGACTTGTTCACACCTGCTGGTGTGCGTCTGCCTGGACAGTGTTGATGCACTTGATCGAGCCGCATCGCACGGTTTCTCTTTTTTTCTTTTTGTCAGAACTTTATTGAAATGTCACACGTGACATTTCATTAAGTTCTATGAGCTCACCGCAGTGCGGTTATACCACATATTGCTGCGGTGCGCTTAAAAAAAGGTTGTTGTTTTTTTAAAGCTTTTTGTAAGCTCACACCTCCAGAATGCAATGTTGTGAACTGTCACCACCACTGTCACAATTGTCTTGTTTTGCGTTCATACACAACTAGAAAAAATGGTCAGTGCAGCCCGGACGCAATGTTCAGTAAATCTTCTTGAATTTGTGCACAATTTCCACCTTTTGCAGTCAGATGTGAAAACCTGTCTGTGTTCCCATTCACACAGCATACCTTATACTAATTTAAGAAAAAAAATCTTCTCTATCTATTTGCAGCAGGTTTATATATTAAACACAACAAGCATGTGGTGCTTAGAATAGCTTGCAATGTGCAATTAGGAGACAGATTGATGGATAGTTTTTGAAAGTACAATTTACCACTCGAGCTTTGAGATCTTTAAGTTCTTGGAAGGGCAGACAGTGTGCACAAATAGTTTACAATTGATGAGATATGCCAGCACAGACAGGGTTAATTATTGTAAACATAACTCCCCAGCCCCCTTCTTAACATTGCATAGAAGTGGAAAACTAAGTTTGATTTTTCTGCATGTTGAACACATGTAGAATTATAAGTAACACATTTTAAATTTTTTTTTTTTGTTATGCTACATAAATGGGAACATGTAACAAATATAGTAGGTGTTATCCCAATTTGGCTTTAAAAGTGGAAACACAATAATGCAGGTTAAAATATAAGGTACAATAAAGGTTTTATAAACAACATTTCTGTTGTATTGTATATTAGAAAGCCTCACTCCAGCCCAAACTTTTTGTTTTTAGGATAGAATGGAGGGGAGGTTTAGTCAGGTTTTGATAACTGTCCATGTCCTTACTGGAAAGATTTATCCTCCCTTCCTGTCCCTGTGACAGATGCATGGAGCAATAAGAAATCTCCCGGGATGAGGGCAGAGGGTAGCAACAGCAAAAAAAGAAATCTTATTCATTGTGGGACACAGGAATTCAGAGACTGTTGGGTATGTCATATCCGTCTACAGGATGATTTGCACAAAAGCAAACCAAAAAAAGTGACCAGCCCAGTATTACCCCTCTACTCCCATATTGTCCGTTTGTTTTCTTTCTAGTGTCCTAGGAGAATGGACCCCATTTCTTTGCTGTGCTGAAAAAGTTTAACCATCCTTTTTACTAGCTATTCTTTCTTGAGGGACAGGGACATCTGCCATTCTGTGATTCCCACGATGCTGAACATGCAGAAGTCCACAGCAAGGAAAGGATCTTTCATCCCACAAAAGTTAGAGGAATCCTGACCTTTCTGCAATTCAGTAGCATCAATGGGCAGATCTCAGGGCCAAGTCCTTTCTCTCTATCCTCATGTACAATGAGGCAGCCACTAAACACTAGAAGGGGTGAAAGTCACCATATTCTCCATACCTGGAAATATGGATAGTTGTTAACTTATGGCAGCCTAATGGATTAGTGGAGTGAAGGAAAGGAATGTATGTGCATCGGGTGGGGCAGCTATTCAATTTAACCTGTTTCTTTAGAGCAGGTCTGTCTGAACAATCGCCTGATGATTGTCCACAAAGATTTTTTGCATCGCTAGAGCCCATGTGACCAGTTCCATGACTTCTGTCATGCAAGGTTCCAGACAGATTCTTAATATCTTTGACTTTTGCAAATATTATACCGGTTAAACATACTAGGGTCCTTTAGTTTTATATTAAGATCTTTTTGACAGGTCAACTTTAAAATAGTAGTATGCACTGCACCAGGATACCCAATAGATCCTCCCTGAGATGACCACAGTCAATGCAAACCAAGCATGAATGTAACGGACATACCAGCATGCAGCTACCCCTAAACCACTCATTTCTGTCAATACCACCATGTGTTAAAAACATTTAATCACCCATCTTCCTTTTTTCACTGCTAGAAATCCGTTACCATCATTGGTCTGGATTCCCTTCCCACAGCGTCATAAATATGCTTTTCCCGTTAATGCAGCGGCACGAGAAGTGCCAACAAGCTCAGATTTACATGGAAAAGCTCTCTTAAAACCATAAAATGTGAAAGTGGAAGTGGCACTCAGGCTAATACGTGCCATTTCTCTTTTCACGGAAGACTGATTTATTCCGATGACCTCATGTGTGTCCTCTGTTTGTCCTCCCCCAGATTGAAGAGGTTTTATATGTGTGTAAAGCTGCCTTAAATTATTGCACGCATGCTTGTGTGACCGTCTGTATTCCTTTTATTGGGGAAAAAGTTATGAATAAAAAATTGGATTTGTAACCACAAAGACCTTTGCACGGGTGGGGAGTGCCCATACAATAGCAGCTGCTTATCTAGCCTCCATTTCCTGTTATCTGAGTCAAGTTCTTCCTCTTGCTTTTTTTTATCATGTCTATTTCTTTTTTACTTTGCCATTAATGCAGGCATTATGCAGGCTGGGTAGAAGAATCTTTCTTCTATTCAGTGTTTGTTTTATTTATACTATATATATATATATCTACATAGATAGATAGAGAGAGATAGATGGATAGATATCTCTCTATCTATCTATCTATCTCTATCTATTCTTAGAGCAGAAACTGTGAAGCCAGCACAGCGATGGGTAGTCACAAGCCACATTCACCTTAAATTCATAGTGGAGCACTTTCTCTCTCATACTTGTATTGTTCATTCTTAAAAATTCTGTGATGAAGGTGCCACTATCTCTCAACCCGGATTCTCCAGTTATTTCTTTATTTTACATTATGAAGAACCCATAGGCCGGGGGAGGCTTTGTAACAGTTGACAGGAACTGGTGATTTTAGTGGGGATAGCTCACGGCGGTGAGTCACTAGAGATGTAGAAAGCCGACATGTAGTTGATTTTGCCTGGAACCATGGAACGATTACTAGCTTACTTCTGAAGGCTTTGCCTTCTCCTGTTGGATAGATTCTTGCTTTTGTTCTCTTAAAAAAAAAAAAAAAAAAAAAATATTCTGCTCCCAACAATTTTTCTTTAAAGCTTTAGAACTTTTGGAAAACGACATGCAATTCAGCTAATACTGAGGCATTACATCAGGTTTAACTATCTTCTGTCCTCCTTTGTCAGCCTCCCAGCCTGTATAACATAAGCGGTCTCCCTTGCAGGGCTGTCCGGAGATTATTCCTACCGGCGAAATCCTGATACCGGTTGGTGTGGTGCAGCCAATCACTCTGAAAGCCAAGAACCTCCCCCAGCCTCAGTCCGGCCAGAAAAACTACGAGTGCGTGTTCAACATCGAGGGGAAAATTCAGCGGGTTCCTGCCGTGAGGTTTAACAGCAGCAGCGTGCAGTGTCAGAACACTTCGGTGAGTGCACAGTGTGCAAATGTATTTACTTTAAGCGGAGGATTGAACAACAAGTGATACCAGGTAGTGGTACCAAAGCAAAACTTTTGGTGAAAATATCAAATGTAGCTGAAGGTAATGCATTGTAATCCTGGGCAATCAGAATTCACAGAGCTCTTGCCCTGTGTAAGCTCCGAGTTATTGTAGTCAGAGCTTACTTAGGGCTGAGGACTCCCTGACCACCCCCATGTGACATTGCTGGGCCAAGCACCAGTGCCCATACATGCAAATGTTCTGTATTTTCTTTACTCTTATGGGCTAAACGCAGCTGCAAGAGCAAAAAAAAAAAAAGATGAGTATATGCTGCTAGCAATGGGGCCTTTTTTGGGAACCTGTTGCTTGCAATCCATTTCCCTGCGCCACTCCCCATTACCCAGATATAGGGATTGTGTACAGCATGCTGAACGTGGACAGGTGACGCAAGAAGCTGAGCTAGGAAACAGGTGTCTGACCTGCTTGGCTGTACACAATAAGAATTACTTTGGAAGGTAAAATATGCAGTTTTATACACCTAATGCCCCATGCTGTGAGAACAATAATTAAAGTTGCAGCAGGAAACTAGGATTGCACACCTGTGTACATTACTAGTTCTCAGGCCATGCTGCCAAACTGACAAATTAATCATAGGGTTACAGTCAAGATAACATACACTGCTTAATACAGACTGGGCATCTAAAGCTTTAATTTCATTTCTCTTTATAAATGATTGTATCTGCACCGTGTATTCACTTTAAATGCCCCAGCTGCCTTTGTTCCAGATATGGTGTACAATACAGTATGCTTGCCAGAATATTAGAATAGTGAGTCAACCTCAAGTGTAATAACCGAGTAATGGTGTCTGTTGCCTATAACAACCTAACAAATTTCTGCTTCTTTCTATCTATCCCTTCTTTCCTTTCTTTCTTTTTCTTTCTTTCTTTTTCTTTCTTTCTTTCTTTTTCTTTCTTTTTCTTTCTTTCTTTCTTTCTTTTTCTTTCTTTTTTTCTTTCTTTCTTTCTTTCTCCATGTTAGAAGCACATTATGATTGCTATACCAAGTCATCCAGTTTTGCACACAGTGCACAAACTCTGCAACACTGCACTAGACCTTTATGACTTTCTGTTGTGCTGTTGGAACATGTTGCTTTGATCTAAATAGCAAGACAAACCTTTTTCAGACAGAAAATTTATGGGAAATGTTTTATAAAAGGGCTTGGGAGAGATTGCACTGGATAACTTGCAGAAAGGATGCTGCCACAGCTCAGATATTCAGTGGATGGTGTCAGCATCTTCCCTATTGTGGTCCTCAAGATGGATTTTAGGCCCCCCTCAGTTTGTTATGCAACATGTTCCATGTGAGATACTTACACTAACAATAATATACTGCCACATTGAGGCCTCCAGTAATGCATTGTGGCACCTCTGGGCACTGGCACTCTGGCATTGTGGCATGCCGGCACTGTGACATAAAATAGCTATATATTAGCACTATAGCCCCTCTTGATGTATCACACAGGCCCTCTGGTAAGGGCATTGAATGTCCTATTATATTACACTTAGAATTTGAGTTCTCTCTGAAATCATTGTCAAGGATTCACAGTGATTGAGCGCTGATCTTTAAAGTGAAATAAATACTTGAGATCATAGATCGCATTCTAGAACCACCAGCTCCCTATGTACCTCTTAGTGTGGCAGAGTAATGGAGTCAATGATCACATAAGACAGCTGCAGACTCAGAAGTCAAGTAAAAATGTGCAAATTATGAGCCTATAGTCCCCCCATAATCTTCTCCCCTTCCAAACACTTCTGTCTCTAATCTGCTACATGACTTGTTACATCAGCAGGGGCTGTGGAACACTCAGTCGGCAGGAAGAGGTTAAAGCTCGCTCTCCCCAGCCGATGGCAGATGGGTGTGGCTGGATTCTGAACGAGGATGGAGATGCTGGCAGTTGCTAGGGGACAGAGCTCTTCTGTTACTATAGCAACAGAGGACCATCTAAAAGAGCTGTTTCCATCCTCCCTTCTTTGTTATGCTGAGCCCCTGCTACCAGCGTGACCCCTCCACCTTCATACTGTATAGGTTATGTACACAGAGGACTTTATCTGTCATGCATTCTCAGCCTGCTCTGTCCCTGCTCCTTGTCATCAAAATCTAAACTCTCCCTAATGACATTTACAGGCAGCCTGGAGCTCTACCTTTTCTTACCGCTTGCAAACATCCAAAGCCACCGTGACTGTTAATCTGGACGACAGGTTTTCGGCGCATGTGCAGTGAAAGCACCAGCGGGATGATTCTCAATAACATATGTTCGCTTTTAAAAAATTTCCAAAATGACTGAAATGCTGGAGGCTCTCTGCAACGTTTTCTGCAGATATTTCTTACTTCTGAGTGTTACAAATCTGGTTTTCTTTTTATACACTCCCCTTAAAATGAAAAAGTAACACAGCCTGCCAGCTCAGTGCTTTGCATGTGTATCTACTCATTGCTACATTACACCAGTCCACCCCAAGTCATTCTGATAACCTGGGAACCCTGCTTTTGATGCAGGAGAGGAATTCCTACACACACCCACTGTGTTGGTACAGAGGAGCTATGTTATTACAACTGGCCTTGGAAATTTGAGTGTGATTGATGATACCATAAAGTAGTATTAAACTCTCAAACCTTTATGCAATAATGAATACAGATCAAATAAGTATACATTGCCCAGCAAAGGATTGCTTTACATTTCTGCCTAAACACTTAGTCATCATGTTTCTGAACAGCTGCTTCCAAGCCTCTCAGCTGAGCTTCCCTGAATGTCCTGTCTAGTACAAGATCACTAGGGACAGAGCAGACACCATCTTTTCATCTACTAGCTTGGAGAGGGGGCCAGGGAAGTAGCTTGATTTGAAGTGTCTCTGTGTTTGTGGAGACAACACAATGAAAAAAAGGCCTCAGTCGTGAAGGGGTTAATATCACTTTAAGCAGAGAGATAGTGAGTGAGTTACACAACACAGGCCAGCATGTGTGAAGCTGCCTGAAATCTGACTATAGAGAATTAGAGTTGGGGTAATCTGATTTTCTGAGTCAAGCGGAACTAAACTCTGCCCACTTGCCAGTGAGCTCTCTTACCAGGGCGTAAGCCTTTGCCCCAGCTTCTTCCTGGGTTCAGGGTCTTTGGCCATCTTGATTGGCCAGCATGGGTTGCCCGTAACTCATGAACATGCGCGCAGGAGTCAATTCATCCCTACACCTGCAGCTCAGTGTATAGTGTGAAGAAGATTGTGAGGAGGATTGTAAGAAGCCTTTATTGCAGAAGAGCCCTATTAAGTCTCATGTAATAACAAAAACCTTCCTGCTCACAATATTTTGTTTCAGGCCAAAGTATCACTTAAAGCAGTGGTTCTCAACCTGTGTAACCTCAGGACCCACACTTGTCCTTTGTCATTAAGTTGTGTATAGCCAGTACACCGTTTTTAGTAAAGGAGATTGTACATTTGGGTTGTAAAGTGTGTGGTCAACCTTTACCTGCATCTATGAAGTGTTAGAACTTAACTCATTTAGTGTAGATTGGATTTTTTTTAACCACTTGAAGACCGGGGTGTTTCACCCCCTTCCTGGCCAGGCCATTTTTCAGTGTTCAGCTCTGCGGTACTTTGACTGACGTTTATTCCGTCATACAATGCTGTACTGATACGAATTTCATACCATTTTTTGGGGACAGATAGAGCTTTCTTTTGGTGGTATTAAATCACCGCTGGGGTTTTTATTTTTTACTATATAACAAAAAAAAGTACCCTAAATTTTGAAAAAAACATGTTTCCCTATAAAATGTTATGAAACATTTATTTTCACCCCAATTTTTTGGTATAATATAAAAGACGGGGTCACGTCGGGTAAATAGACACTAAAAAGGCCACCGCATTACATAGCGCATTACGTAGCTGTTAATAATGTTAAACCGGAATGTGGCCTACCAATTTAATGTCTCCCAAAACACTTTTAGGGTAAGCCAACTGTCAAGGTTCTTTAGTGTGCTTATTTCAGCTCTCAACCAAACTTTCAAGCTGTCAGTTGGCTGGTGACATAGTTGATGTGCAGAACCATGGCACCTGCAATCCAAGTGACGCCTAAAGGTGCCCATACACTGCACGATTCTCGTACGAGAATCGTGGGAAATCCCGCGATCGTATGAGAATCGTGCAGTGTATGGAAGGCGTGCGACCGTTTCTACTGTACGGTCGCACGTCTTCCGTCGAACCAGCATGCTAGAAAACCCGCCGGGAATCGTACGATTCTCGGCGAGTTAGTGGCCTGCTGGTTTGACAACTGCCGAACGGGCCGGTGTGCGCACGCGCACACTGCCCGCCTGCAGTCAACGTAAGCCCGCCCCTGATTAGTCATCGTAAGCCCGCCCCTCGGGGGCGGGCTTGCGATGATCGAGAGTACGATCTGCCTGTCCAAGATGGGCAGATTGTACGTTTTTTTAAGTACTTTACAACCATCGCTAAGGTCTTGCGATGGTTGTAAAGTGTATGGCCACCTTAAGATGGCACCTTCCTTGTCTGTAAAGGATAGGAGAATGTAGTTCCACTTTAAAATCAGCTGTATAGATATTAGACAATTCACAAAGCTAATACACCAGAATAAGGATCCTTGTAAAAAAAGGTAACTTCTTTTCAGCTGATTCCAATGAGATCTGAAAATTACAGTCACATGGCTTAAAATAAAGATCCTCATGCTTGTATTAAAGCTTTGTGAATTGTGCCCAATTATTATATAGTCAGAGTGTAACATGCACTGCAAATGTTAGGTCGGACAGGTGTTGAAAGAAACGCAGTGCTGGCCCCTATTTTGTATCAGACACTGGCTGAAAGAAATTCACCAACATACGAGACATTACAGGTAAAACTGGGCTCTGGGAGTGGTGCGAAAAACTGACTTGCAGGGCTCAATTAACTTTTAGGCAAATAACCTTCGGACAGCCAGTGATAGGCGGGCTTGTTTTTAGTTTTTTTTGGGGGAGTTTATGTTTAAATCGTAGATCTCTTATGTTTTAGTTAGCAGCTATTGCCCAAATCAACAAATCTGATTCAATGCATCGTGTTGCTAGTGCAGATGGAAGAAAATAAGGTGAAATACAATTAGTTGCTATAGGAGGAGGCTGGCTTTATAACACTCTGGTTTTCTCAGATTGGTCATGATGTGCTGATGTGAGAGAGGAAGATGACTGTGTTGTCCATAGCAAGTAGTATGGTGCTGCCTTTCATATCTTGGTGTAGGAAAAAAAGACTTTCGCTTCTTTCTTGTGTGTTTGCAAAGTAATGGGTGAAGCTTTGACTACTAAACCATTGAAAGAGTCTCTCTCTGAAATGAGATGTTGCCAATGTCTTGCAGTACACATATGAAGGTAATGACTCCGGCGACATGAAGGTGGACTTCTCCATTGTCTGGGATGGACATTTTTTCATCGATAAACCTGCATCCTTCCAAGGTAAAAAAAAAAAATTGACAATTTCCTTCTTTTACAACAATTACTGTTGCCAGGTAATACAATTGTGGGGAAATTGCATGTCTTATTCATGTTTTATATGTTGATGTTTAAAAATGAAAGCCAACTTTTGAGTGCTAGTACTATGTCCCCTTAAGCTTTTAGAAATATGCCCTGGTGCACCTGATTTATGAATGCTGTTTTTGAATGAACATTACTTGATGCCTATAGTAAACCATCAGATTCTGTTTTATTCTCCGGTACTGCACTGGGTGACCGGAAGAGGAATGTCATTGTTTGCTACGGGCAGCAAGAACGGTCTATTCTGTTTTTTGGGTAAATAAGCCACACCTATTGTCACTTGTTTCCATCATTGTACAAATCTTTCTCTTCCTGCTAGCTTTGCTATATAAATGCCCGGCACAACGCGATAGCTGCGGCCTCTGTCTGAAGGCGGATTCTCGCTTTGAGTGTGGCTGGTGTGTGTCTGAAGGAAAATGCCTCCTTAGGCAGTATTGCCCTAATCCGAAAACCAACTGGATGCATCTTAGTAAAAGGAACACACGATGTACCAGCCCCCAGATCTATGAGGTAAGTCATCTCCTATCACCAGTTATTGCTGTAAACTCTGATGTTAGAGGGCAGCTTTGCTGGGTGTGCTCAAATGCTGGGGTTAAGGTGAGACTGGTTTGGAAATACCACTGTCATCTGCTCTTTATGGTCTGAAGATCCTTCATTTTCAAGTTCAGCAGCCAGCCCCTTCTAGCATCCTGTACAGAGTCTTCTGTTCTGCCTATACAGGCTTTAGAAGTGCCTGCTGTGCCCAGTAAAAAGTTCACTGGAAGTCATGTTGTCTTTTCAGCAGTTGGCATTGAATATAGACCAGCATTAAGAGTGCCTGCAGACCAGCATTAAGTGTGCATTCCAGGTCATGGAAAAGCCTGTAAAGGTATATTGGTATGAGATAGGAAATATTTGCAGACTGTTATGCTCCACTGCTTTGAAGTATCATCTTGTCAGACAATTGTCCAATATTTATCTTTTGGCTTTATTAAGGCCCTTATGTTAATAATTTTGCCATTTTCTGCTTCACAGATCCATCCCCTCACTGGTCCAAGAGAAGGTGGAACCAGAGTGACCATTACTGGAGCTAACTTGGGTCTGTTCTTCAGAGAAGTGTGGGTACAGGTTGCTGGGGTACAGTGCTCATCGGTTCCCTCGCAGTACATCAGTGCAGAGAGGTGAGATTTGCCTAAGGGACATTAGGGGCTTAACTAGGAAGTTGGTCCGTTTTTTTTTTTCTTTTGTACATAACAGGACCTCTGTGATGAGTTTTGTTCACATAACTAAAGGTTTTAGCATGAATCTGTTAAAGCCGTTCCTGACTGCAGCCTTCAGATGTACAATTTCAAGCATGGTGACAGTCAGTGTTAATCGATGGAAATTGCTGGTCTCAACTAAGCTTGGCAAACAATCACATGACCACCATTAACGCAATTCATGTGATCACACAAGGTTTTTTTACAAGCAAACTTGCCGACTCCAGCTATCGCTAGCACAGTGAAAACTGAAGCAGGCAGGATACAGCTATCACAGTGAAATTCGGTGCATTTTAAGTGTGTGTTTAAAATAAGTAGATTTGTCAAAGGTTTTCACATAAAACCCCTTATATAAAATGGGAAAGAACATTTTTTTGTTTTTGTTTGCCCATTTGTCAGCTGGTGATAGAAAACCTGAGCAGGACATGTATTAACAGTGCACTAAATAAAAACCTTGTGTCCTAAAAAAAATAGTATATATATCAAGTTAACTGACTGCTAAATTTGATATTGTCTAGCATTGCCTTCCATATCTTGGCATAGCAAAAAAAAAAAAAACATTACTCTTCAGATCTTTCTCTTTATATGACCATAAAGATGATAAAACAAAAACAGTCAAGGACTTTAATCCTTCCTACTTTATCCAAAACTAAAAAAAGATGTTTTAGCTTTAGATAGTTAAATGGGTCATATATTAGATTTGTTTTCTCTGCAATGTTGGAATGGAATTGCCACAAAAAAGACTTAGAGATGTGATTTATTTTTTTGTAGCTAGGGATTTTTGGGCTTAACAATACAGTTTATAGAGCATTGGTGTGGAAAATGTTGCATACCATAGCAGATAGAATTCACCTTTCTGGATATCAGTCCAATGAGCGCTGCATTTTGAATGTCTGTGGGTTGTTCTTTTAAAACAAGTAATGCAAATGTTCAAAGAAGCGTATTGGCTTCACAGGGTAGAATAACAATCATCATGAGCTGGTCGTAGAGATGATTTTTGCTCATTGTAGACAGATTGCAGTTCCCTGGAGCAACCGTTTTTACAAAAAAGCGGTGCTTTTTTTTTTTTTTAACTCAAAATCATAATGTGATTTGGTAACACTGATGTGTGCTTTATTGCTCATATGAAGTGTGAATTTTAATGACGAGCCCTCTATAAGATAAAATAGTAATATTTGGGATGTCGCCTCTTTTAATGACCTTCACTTTGAATGCTGTCAGCACCTCCTTTAACACCCGCCGACCACCATCACCTGCAGATTAGACTCCAAGGTCCGCCTAATTCATTTGTTCAGCCGGAGGAAGCGAGTCTGGTGCTTAATGAACGCTATAAGGAATCTCGTTCTCCCACGCTCAGTAAGAAGCAATTAAGACGTAATGGTCTCGCCATGAATCAAACAGTTTTATTGCATATCTCTCCACCCTCAGCTGCACCAGGAAGTTGCCGCACAAATTGCAAGTAGATAAATAGTTACAGGATGATGGATGGCACATTTCCTCATTGCTTTCCTAATTAAATCGCCATCCAGGGCCTGTGCATACACCTGCTGTGACTCCCCCACATTACTTATCGTGAAGTTCTCCCCACAGCCAAGGCCTGTGTGATGCAGGTCTGTCATCACCGATTAAAATTTAAACTTGTTGAACTTAAAAACACCCACCAAAATAATTCAATTACACACTTGCATGCCTTGTGTCACCCTTTAAAATAGCGATACTTATTACATTTATTCAAATTCAATCATAATTCTTTTTAAAGATGTTTGCACAGATGTAAATAGCTGTGCAGAAATAATTTTAGGAAATATTTGGTAAAGGGTCAGCTCTCCGAAACTGATATTTTGTATTTTTGTAGATCCATGAGAGTTAAACTGCCCAAAACTTCTATTTGGACAAGAACAGAGTCAGCAATTATGGCTGTTCTAGTGTGTAAGACATAAGAGGCCATACATGTATATCATTTTTGGTGGGTCCGGACCTTTAATTTTTTTTAAACTTAGTTTTATTGCATATCAGCAAAAGTTTGCCTGTTCATCGAACCTGGTAGACTTTCCAGTGATATGAATTAATTTTGTTTAATAATACGACGCTGTGATGATTGGTGAGGAGTATATAACAAAGTGCAGGGTAGACTATGAAACATACTGCACAGTGTGCCAATTGTGGACGTCTGTGTAGTATGTCATGTATAGCACATTCACCCAAGTGCACTCAGTACATCCTGGTAAGCAGCAGCTATTTTCTATATTGTTTTAATGTTTCCTGTCCTATGGTATATAGTAGTAAAGCTGGATTGTCTCTTTTTGTTTTGGGGGCAAAGCATATCATGCTCACCGTGCCCAACATTGGTTGCTCCCCTGTAACCTGCCCCCAGAACAATCTAAAACCCAGCACCAATGGTAGTCATTCCACCCCAGCATACACACGCTGGTTTCCCCCCGTGTATACCAGAACAAACACACGCGGTGATTGCACAGGCCTGTATCCCCACCCTAGCACACACCGGTTTGTCCCTTGTATCCCATCCCCAGAAAACATGGTGGTCTCACCCCTGTATCCAAAGTCCAGCACACATGGTGGTTGCATCCCCTACATTCCACCCCAGCACACACACACTGGTTTCTCCCCTTGATCCCAGGCCAAGCGCACATGGTGGTCACTCCTCTGTCAAGCTGGGCTCTCCCCTATATGACATCCACAGCAAACACAATACCTGTATTTACAGGTATTCACATCCAGCATACAAGCTAGTTTCTCCCCTGCATGACCACCCCTGCACACACATTGAAGTGTTGATAAATGTAGGGGTGTACTACTTTTGCATTTTTGTCTATTTAGATTGTGATAACGAACGCTCTGTGTTAATTTTGTGTAATTGTTTCATGTATTTCAACCTTTATCTATAGGCCCTTTTTAAATAAAGATCAAATGTTTGTCTGTTTGAACCTGTTGAAAGTAAAAAAAATAACATAAAAAGCTTCTTAACTTTCTAGCATCTATCCAAAATGAAAAAGTATTTTTCAGTGCATTGACCTAGGTTTGTTCAGTGTATTGACTCCATCATTCTGCCTCCACAGGATTGTGTGTGAAATGGAGGAATCTCTGGTTCCTAACCCTGCCCCTGGTGTAGTGGAGCTTTGTATAGGAGACTGCAGCGCCGAGTATAGAACCCAGTCTGATCAGCTTTACACGTTTGTGGTAAGATTATCATAAAAGCACATTACAATGTAGCTGAACGAATGCGTAGACTCTGTAAAAAACATACCTTGAATTTTGCTAAATTTTGTTTGCTTGGCGGTTTAAATGCTGATCTTTTTTTGCTTTGTGTAATACACGTGCTAATGTGTCTTACAACATGTGAAAAACACTGGGCTTTAACAAGAGGTGACTGCAAACCAAACTACTTGTCGCAATCCAGTAACCTGTGTCCTTCTCTCTCACTTTACAAGTGCTGGAACTGGAACAATGTGGCAATAAGAACATCATCTTTTATACACATTTGATTTCATACCCATTGTCACCACAACCTTTTCCTGGAGAGAAATCTCTGCCAGCTTGGAGCTGTCTAAATGGACATTTTAACACTCCTGTCAGAAAATATCTAAAAATAATTTGCAAACTTTGCCGCTAATTGCTCGTGGCCTTTTTATATCAAACATAAGTTAGTTTGATAGAGTTGTTATTAAAGAATAAAAAAGCAGATTTCATCATTTAAAAGTTATAAGACAGTAGTGACATTTTAGTGTAGACAGCAGTGACATTTCTAACTTGGAGCATGCTTGTACAAGATTTCTGTGTGTTCTTGTTGGTAACCGGCATGCAGCAATACTTATGGGATCCAGTGCGATGATACATTGACATCTAGGGTCTCCAAATACTGATATACTGACACTCTGAATCTCCAGATAAGGACACACTCACACTTGGAAACTCCGAACACAGATACATTGACATGTACTGACCCATTAAAATGTTGGATCTACATATACTGACTGGCGACTTCCAAAAACTGACATGTTGGAACTTGGGGGTCACCAAATACTCACACTTGAGGTCTCCAAATACAGAGGGTGTGCGGGGGGGTGGTCTCAGAACAATGACACACATGTAAAGAGCACAAGCCTATGTTTATTTCTTCTTTCTACTCTTAAGACTCCTACTTTTCATGAAGTCCGCCCCAGGCAGGGTCCAGCATCAGGTGGCACTCGACTCACTATTAGTGGCAAAAACCTGGATGCTGGTAGCTCAGTGTCCGTACTGATTAGAGATTCGGAATGCCGCTTTGTCAAGTAAGTATTGGCTCTTTCTTCTTGACAGCTGTAATTATCCATATTACCCTTTTTACTGTCATAGTTCACATGTCATTTTTATTACACAACAGGAGAAACATGCGTGAAATTGTATGCATATCACCAGCATCATCACAGGGCCCCAGTACAGCCACCATCACTCTGCGAATTGATCGGGCCAGTGTGTGGAACCAAGATGTAATTTTTACTTACACTGAGGACCCCACTATTTCTCGACTGGAGCCAGCTTGGAGTATTTTCAAGTGAGTGGAGACAACAGTAATCACTTTGAGATGGGTGACATCTACTCTCAACCTTTTGTTCTTCAGCACTTCCTGTCTGTGTGCCTCAGACCAATTTCCTATCTCAAGTTTGCCATTTCCTATTCCATAATGGATGCTCTTGTATGCATTGTGTGTCTGGACTGATTACCTTTTTGTCTGTTGTGTACATTTCTTTCTGAACAGTGGCAGCACAGCAGTCACGGTGACCGGGACCCACCTAATGACCATTCAGGAGCCACAAATTCGGTCCAAGTATGCTGGCATAGAGACCATAAATGTAAGTGGAAGAATTATATCTTCAGTGTCAAAGAACTGCAGCTTTTACACCCCAGTCACACTAAGTGGTTTATCGCGCGACTTCTGCCGGAAAATCGCGCCTATTTCCGCGCAATATTGCTCTATGTAGCTTGCCCAATGCATTTCAATGGAGCTGTTCACATGGCACAGCACAGACTCTATGATGTCGCGCAAAATCGCGCATTACCGGCGATATCGCGCTACAGAAGGGTCACTTTTGCACTGCAAAAAGGAAGGAAAGAATGATGTTACATCAAGATCGCTGTTGATTGGTTACAGCCCAATGTAGCAGGGACGAAGTCCCGCCCAAAAAAACGCACTTGTGGCGCGATAAAATGTGCATTGTCGCTCAATATCGTGCAATGTAGCTCAAAGCCGTTCACGCAATACCCATGTCGCTCAGTGTGAATGGGGCTTTAGGGTCAATCCACTCAAATGTGACATTTCAATTATAAATGGCATCTGTTACAAACTTCTGGCTTCTTTGACAAAGTTTCCTCTGCACTCTAGAGCAGTGATAATGAGAACCTTGTAAACAGTATTTAAGTATGTGTGGGTCTTGCTTAGTTTGGTCTGGTAAGTAGTGCAGTAGTAGTTTTTAATATGGAGTCCAGGCAAACCATGAAATATAGTTATGACTTGTCTTGCTGTTCAGCCAATTTTTTAATTCACATACATCTGCCACACTGTACAGCCAGGCAGATGACACACCTATTTTCTGTTTGAGCTTTGTCAACTTTCTGCTCCCAGCTTGGTCTTTAGAAAATGGCATTATCACCTCTCTCATTAAAAAAGAGAAGTGACCCAGGTGGTTGTAAAGGTGAACCAGGGACTAGTATAATGATCATCCTGGCAGTATGGCACAGTGGTGTAAATCACAAGAGTTGCTGAATAGAGTTTGATATCCATTGGTAGGTAGAACAGTAACAATATATGCATTTCAATTGTGTATTTAGCAGTTCTCTATATGGGGAACGCTAGACACTCCACATAGTTCACTTTCTTTTAGCGGTCATTTAGCTAGGATGCTGAATGAATTCTGACACACTAATGGCCTCTAAAGGGAAGACCTGCAAAACTGTATCTCAAACTATTATGGTGAATATGTAATGCCAAGGATCTATAGGTGTAATCATCATCAAACAACACTATGAAACCAGTGTTTCAATAAAGCCATGTCTCCCTGAAAATACAATATATGCTTGTTTCTCTTTAATCCCAAGTAAATCCACTAACCCTGAGTCTTCCTGTCCTTTTCAGACGTGCCACATCATTAACGACACATTGATGATCTGCAAGGCTCCAGGGATCTACCCCTCTAATGGGGAAGCTGTTCCAGATGATGGTGTTCAGCCAGATGAGTTTGGTTTTGTATTGGACAATGTGACAAGCCTGCGCACCTTGAACTTCACCACGTTTACCTATTACCCCAACCCTGTGGTAGAGCCCTTTGGGCCCGGTGGCACCCTGGAGATAAAGCCGGGCTCACACGTCATTCTCAAGGTAGTGGAGAAAAAAATGTGAATATTAACCTAATGTCAATCTGGGAAAAAAGTGTTGCAAGAGACCTGACAGATGAAACACTAATGCACTAGGCTTCATTTGTTCTTGTTGGGTTTATTCCTTTGTGAAGTATACGTATTGAACTGCTTTATTGGTATGTTCTGTCTGTCGCAGGCTCGTAATTTTTAATGTGCCTGTCCACCTTAAACTTTTTTTCCTAGTTTTGAATAGTAAGGAAGAGTAGAACCCCTGTCGACTTTTTACTAGTATCTGGGGCTCCATTGGAGAGATTTCCTGTCGCTTCCTGTCCCAAAGACAATGTTTTACTAGACAGGAAGTAAGGGCAGCTGTCCAACAGCAATACAGACACATACAAATGCATTTTTTAGTAGGGAAAGCTAGAACCTGCTAAATGTTTTTTTTGTTTGGTCTGTGTTCCTGTTTCAGATTTTCAATCACTTCCTGTCTAGTAAAACAATTGTCAGTAGAAGTAGTAGAAATTGAGTAATAATTCTCTCTGAGCCCCAGATAGCAGTAAAAACCAGACAGTTTCTATTCCTCCTGCTCTATCTAAAGGTTTTTTGTTTGTCATACACTTTACCCATAGGATGCATGATAAGGAAGCTTTAACCATCTCAGCTCAAATTTATAGTGGGCCTATAATTTTTCTTTGCCTCCCCTTTACCTACCCACCACTCTATTCAGTCACAAGAGGGGAGAGAAAAACTGAATACGGGGGAGCATGTTATTTACTCCCTTTTCTCCCATGTGGTAGCACTACTGCTTGGCAGATGGCTGCCTGGGCATCAGCACAGTCACATGGAGTTGGAGAGTGAGTCATTAGCCTTATATAGGCTCTGACCACATTGACTTGAGGCAGGTGAATGGAGTAGTAGGGCAGTAAAGGAAAGGCATGTATGTGCTTATGGGGATTGAAGTCAACCTGTTTTAAAAGAGACGAGTCAGGATGGCTGTTACCTATTACAGCCAAGGGTCCTGGCTAGTGTTTCTGTACTGACTTCATTCACTTGACTGAACTCAGAATAGGTCTACAAATCAGGAGATGGCATTTCACGGACTGCATGCTTCTTTGAGATCAGTGACTCACCAAGTACTGGAGCCACAGAAAGGCATAATAGCCAGCAAGTTGTCATTTTTAAGAAGTAGCTGAACAATGGTAGGCTGCACGTGTTTTTCTCATGTTAGGTTTCCTTTAATCTTAGTGTTTTGATTATTTGGATAATGGTGTGCCTTTTTAAATTGTACCCTTGTCTTTTGTAAGCTCCTTCCTTTCCACTACTTCTATCCTGGGTTGTTTTTCTTATGGAATATTCACCGTGAGTCTTGTCTGCTTTTTTTTTTTTTTTTCCATCTAGGGAAGAAATTTGCAGCCTGCTGCCCCTGGAGGAGCAAAGTTGAACTACACGGTTCTGATCGGGGATGAAGCGTGTGCGCTTACCGTGTCTGATACTCAGCTGCTGTGCGATTCTCCCAGCCAGACGGGAGAACACCGCGTGACTGTGAGTTTAGCATCTGCCATTGGGGTACCCAGCACTTTGGGGTATACACACACTAATAATTGTGTTTGATAATTAAGTTGGTTTCACACATGTACCGTATTCGTTTTATACCCTATTATATGTTGATTTTACATATTTTATGTTTGAGACAGGAAATGGTACATATTCATGATCTGCCATTTACATTTCACTGTGTTGGAGCACCTAGTGCTCTCAGTCCTAAACCTTTGCTTTTCCCATGCAGGATAATGCAACAGCTTCACTTTAAGTTTTGGCTTTGATAATCCACAGCAGCTTATACCCACCTGTATTTTGCTGCCCTGCCACTCTGTCCACCTCTAAAGAGAAAAAAACAATTCCTCCAGATATAGGAGATGCGCATGAATGTTCCCTTTTTCTGTGACAGCGCTGGTGCTTGGCTTGGCCCAACGCTGTCACATCAGGCGAGAGAAACCTTTAACCCCATGCAAGCTCTAACATGATCAACTGTGAAGCAGTTGGGGAGCAAACATGAGCATATACTGCTGCTGGGACTATTTTTAACCCCTTCATGACTGAGGCCTTTTTTTTCATTTTTTTTACCCATGTTATATTCCACATTTTAGGCCTGAAAATTACTTAAAACACCCCAACATTATATATTTTCTGAATGTTTTCTGAATTATAGAATTAAATGGTGGTAGTTGCAAATTTTTATGTTGCACAATATTAGCGCAACTCCTATACTGCTTTGTCCTGCATAGTCAAAGCACAGGTTTACGTTAAACTAAACCTAAAAACGAAAAGTTCTTCCATAGTTGGTACTTTGCCGGGTTTGGACTTTTCATAAACTTAACCCCACTTCTGATGCTTTGAAAGTTCCAAACCCGCTGGGAAGTCAGAGAAGTCTAGCTAAATTCTGCCTCGTAGAGCTAAACCATATCCACCATCCCCTTTAGACTGAGAAGTGGGTAAGACTTAACTGTTTAACTGGGAAGTCAGAGAGGTCAAGCGCTTAAGATGTAGGGTAGGATTTTTTTAGGTTTAATCTTTAGACCAACATGTTTTGGTGACTTTTAGCTATTGCTTGCCACATGCCCCACAACTCCTCTTCCCTATGAAAGGGGTGATATTTTTGTGGTGGCGCAGCTTTTATGTGTACAGGGCCAATGTCCTACAATATTCCTTATTCAATATGGTGCTTAGCCTCTCCCATTGTACCCATCCCCTCTGTTGGGATTGCTTTTTTAGCCTTGTCTGGTAGTTGACCACTCCCTCGTTCCCCACCAGTGGCTCAGTCCAGATGGATTCAGAGAATAAAATGTTTTCTTTGTCTGTAGATTCATGTTGGAGGGATGGAATTCTCCCCAGGAAGTCTCCGGATCTACTCTGACAGCTCCCTCACCCTGCCAGCCATAGTGGGGATCGGCGCAGGGGGTGGATTGCTACTGCTTGCTATCATTGCCGTCCTCATTGCCTATAAGAGGAAAACACGGGATGCCGACCGCACCTTGAAACGCCTCCAAATGCAGATGGATAATCTGGAGTCTCGGGTTGCCCTGGAGTGTAAAGAAGGTGTGTTTTGGGATAAACTAATTCTGACATATACATATTGATATTATATGTGACTGACCATTCAGTCCATTCGCTTTAATCATTTGAATAGCTAAAACAATTGATCAGTGCAACTTGAACAGTAACTGTAACAGTAACAGCAATTCCATCAATGTCAATGTCATCAATGTCAAATGTTCTTGGAAAAACAATGTCAAATTGGAAGTGACTGCTTCAGAGTCTCTTGATTGCTCAATGCATCGATCAGCTTAAATATGTCAGCTTTCATTTGATTCTGCAAAACTGGTCAAAAACAATCCAAATACTGTACTAAAAAATGATTTATAGTTACTAGATCCAGTCTGAATATCGAAATGATGATCAAACCTTGATTTTTGTTTTATGTTTTAGTCCTAGATATTCAGGAATGTTTAGGACCCCATTTAGATTTTTTTATTCCCATTGGGAAGGTTTCCTTTCACTTCCTGTCCTGGAGACACAACATGAAGTGAGAGGAAATTTCCCCAAAGTGAGAATAGATGGTAATTAGTAGTTGTCATTGAAATGGGTATAAGATTTGCCTTCACCCGTTGCGTTAAATCCCCCCACACAAACCCAGCACCAGCAAGAGGTTCTAACCCCCCACCACTCTATACAAAACTAAAAAAGAAAAGCGCTGCCTTTAGCTTTACTTAAGTATTCGGACCAGTGATCAGCAATGTTACCATAGTGTTTGTGTGAAATAATCCTGACAGCATTTTCTCATTCTTATAGATCTGCAAATTCTCATCCTAGTAGCTGTTTGCATCATTCAGCAGTAATGTATTGTTTACAGTTTTCATAGACTTGCACTGATAAAAGCACAGTCACTGCTAATTAGGCCTTGATTATGGGCAAATACAGCTGCCCCCATGTTCAGTTATTAACTACTCATGAAAATGAAACCTGCCTCAGTAATACTATTTACATTAAATTGATATCATAATAACCCTTCTCTGAAAAAAAGCTGTAATACCACATTTGCAAAGATCAGTGTACAAGGCTGAATAGAAGACCGTACACCTGTTAAGGAATAATAGGTCTCACCATGGCTCAACAGCTGCTGCTCGGCAGGCATGCTGAGACTTGTTGTTCCTCCAAAGCCAGAAGATGTGAGATGCCTATAGTCATAGCTGTTTGCAAATGAAAACTTGCAGCCCTATGGCAGCTGCAAGGGGTTAATGGAGTGCAAATGACCTCATGCAGAGAACGCCTCATCTTGGTGCTTTTTCTCTTATCTTGATCAATAAATCTTTAGACTGCTGCTGCAATGGCTATATGGGAAGAAATGGGGGAAGGGCAGTGAATACTATTAGGGGTAAATGGAAGATTAGAGGATGGGCAAGTAATTAATTATACTGAGCTGTCACCACATAAATGCTGCAAAGTCAGGACAACAGATCACAATCAAGTGAGCATACGTATGGAGCAAGCACCACCTTTTCGCAGCAGAAACTTCCCACATTCTCATATTTTATTTAGCTATATAGTTTGCTTTAAAATAACATAATTTCTACAAGACGTATCCCTCCAACTTCCCTGCATGCACTGCTTCTCTCCCGAGGCTGTTGAGGGCTGTACTTTGATTCACTTGGCAATTTCTGTACAGTCAGGTTAAGGTGCCCATACACCTTACGATTATCGGACGAAACTTTTCGTCCGATGATCGAACCGTCGTACGATTTTCCCATCCTGCCCCGATTATCGTAAGGTGTATGGGCACCTTTAGTGTGATTTCCTGCAGCCATTGCCTCGTGTGAGGGTTATAAAGGAAACCTGTTAGGATTTGAATTTGAAGGCTGCTATAGCTGTGTCATCTTCTGAGTTTAATACTGTGAATCACTGACCCTGAACTAAGGTGAAATGAGGAGTTCTCGCTTCACTTGCTACCTGCTTGTTCCAGGTCAGTAACCAAAAAAAAATTGAAACCAGCATATTCTCTCAATACAGTTTTCCTTTAAGGACAGATTCATTATGTAATCTATACAAGACATCACATGGGCAGGGCTGTAAATACATCGGCACAAAGGGTGGCACCTTAAGTGTCTTCAGTTACTTTTGCACAGTGTGTAGAAGACAATTTTATTGTAACAATTGGTCTAGAGGGCTGGAGTGGTAGACACTGATAATCAGTGGTGAGTGACCCTTACATGTTGGTGGTCAGTACCACCATTACATTGGTGTTCAGTGGCCTGTGTCTGGCCTCCCAGGTCTGAGGGATATCATGCTGGAACTAGGTTTGTACATTACTCTTAAAACACAAGCATATCATACAAACTTCATGCAGATTGTGCCCCTGATGAAAACTAAACTCATTACCACTAGAACTGCAAAACCACAGTTCTGTCTCCTGCCACATAATCCTAATTATAACAACTTCTTCTTTTGTGTGTACAATTAGTGATGCTTTATGAAATCTCTTACATTTAACCACATCTTCACTGTTGGCAGCATTGTCAATGTCCCCTCCCTGCTGGACTGTAAGAATTTTAGCGATGACACAGCCATACCCTTGAGAACTTCATTAGCAGTCGGAGGCTTCATTGGTTATGATAACACAGCCCTCCCAACAGACATTAACAGCTGCCCATTCCAGTATACCAAGGTCATGCCAAGTGTCAGGAGTGGCGATGAGCGATGGCTTCCTACAGGTGGAGGGAAAACCAAAGCCAGACAGCCAACACAGGCTGGAAAGAAATAATCTGCCATTTATTTACACACAACTAGAAATGGGAGTATTTAAAGAAGCAGTCCTCTAAGCTTCAGCTGTATCTCAAATGTCCTTGGCATATTTTAAGAATGAATACAGTCATTTATATGTTAATTTTTATGAGAGTGCTCATGTCTAATTCTCAGGAGCGCTTCAGCAGTTCACATTTTTTGTTCTGTATGTGACCACTCTTCATTCATAGCTTACAGCTGAAGAGATCTAAGCCCACTCCATTATGTAATGAAAGGTTTTTGGAGCAGACAAATATTAAACATTCTAAACAAGTGTATTTTTATTGCCACCAGCTTCCAAGTTCAAATGTTACAGCACACCAAAACATACAGAATACTCCTAGTTATCACGTTTTTATCATGACATTCGTTTCATTAACTGCTTTCCCATTGTGAGGGAAAAAAGTGATTGGTTGATGTGCAGTGATTTCACTTAAACTTAATTAGTCCAGACACTTTCCTTAGGTGCATGCTATCTCCATTGAGGGACACAGCTCTGAAGAATTCAGAGACAAGGGGATAGAAAAACAGTCAACTTTCTCTATCATAGGGATGTGCTGCTGCTTCCAGGAGAAATGGACGCTAGGCCAAAAATTAAAAGCCTGTCACTTTAAGGACATAACCCCTCTCACCCCTCACCTACCAGTTTTGCTTAGTGTCCCCAGGAGAATGGATGTCTCCTTCTCTTCTGCTTTATTATTTTAATTTATTTTGTTTCTTCGTTGAAGATTCTACTACCAAGAGCTGTGATTTCTTTGTGTTTTGGCTTTGCATGTCTCAGCAGCGCCATACTAACCTTCTTCTTTTTTTTTTTTTTTTTTTTTTTTTTTTTGGATCTGTGCTTTCTTATTCCTGTTGCTTTGTCAGAACGTTTTCAATGTTTTTACTCAGACCTGTTTACAGACTGTCTGATTCTAGGTTTGAAAGCACTTAATGCGTTTGTACATATTCACAAATTCTGGATGGACAGTTGGACACCATTTGGTCTTTTGTTGTCGCTCTTAGACGAGGAGATTTCTTGGCTTCCATAGACATAAAGGATGTGTATCTACACAATCCTGTATTTTCAGCTCCTCCGCATTTCCTTTGCTTTGTGGTAGACGACCTTCATTATCAATTCGTGGCTCTACTCTTTTGGGTTGGCTTTGACTCAATGGGTTTTTACAAAAGTTCTTGCTCTGCTCAATGTCTAGACGGTGCTGCGGACATTAGAGGACTTCAGGTGGTTTCTGAACATTGAGAAGTCGACCCTAGTTGCATCACACCGCTTGGAGTATTTGGGTCTTCTATGGGATGTGTTCTTCCTCAGAACAAAGTATTGAAGCTGCGGGATCAACTTCGGTCTCTTCTATCCTGTCGCCGTTCCTCTCTGAGAAGCTGCATAAAAATACTGGGATTGATTGTGTCAATTTTCAAAGCGGAACCTTTTGCTCTGTTCCATTCTAGGACTTTACAAAGGAACATTCTTACAGCGTGAAACAAGTCTCCTTTATCACTGGAAAAGATGTTCAGATTGCATGCCCAGGCCAGGATGTTTCTGATGTGGTGGTTGACGTCCCATGTGTTGACAATGGAGAAAGCCGTTTCCTTCCCTAACTTAGAAGATTGTCACATGGGGGCCAGTCTTGTGAGATGGGGCAGTTCCTCGGATCATCTGTCTGTGCAGGTTTGTTGGTCTCCAGAGAAATCCAAGCTTCATGTCCTGGACTTGAGAGCGTTTTTTTCTGGCATTTTATCGCTGGTCCTGTCTTTTGTCTGGGTGTCCAATTCAGATTCAGTCAGACAATGCTAGGGCGATGGCATAACTCAATCACCAGGGAGGCACCAGGAGTGTGTCTGTGGCGATGGAAGTGCATTTGATGTTGGATTGGGCAGAACTTGAAGTTCCAGCAATTTCAGCAGTGCACATCCCTGGAGTAGAAAACTGGCAGGCAGATTTTCTCAGCAGACAATGTCTGGATCCAGATGAATGGTCTCCCCATCCAGAGATGATTCAACAACTTTGTCACTGCTGGGGAATTCTGAATGTGGATCATCTGGCTTCTCGTCACAACAAGAAAGTGGACAGATTTGTCTCCAGAGCAAGGGATCCAACTGCAGATGCGGTGTATGCCTTGGTAGCTCTGTGGGATCAGTACATACTAATGAATATTCTCCACTGACATTGGTTCTAACAGATAGGCCACATCTGTTATCTCATGGCCCAATCTTTCGCCCTGCTTCTCAGTCACTGGCTTTAATGGCCTGGCTGTTGAAAGACAAAGGAATTTCAGATTCTGTTATTCTTACTATGCTTAAGGCTAGATCTTCTACTTGTAAGATTTATCACCATACGTGGAAGGTTTATTTTCCATTGGTTTGAGTCCTTGGGGTTTTCCCCACATGGTTTTTCTATATAGTGCAAATTTTGTCTTTCCTTCAACTTGGGGTAGATCATTGTTTAGCTCTAAGTACCATAAAGAGTCGGATATCTGCCTTGTCTATCCTTCTTCAACATCCTCTTGTATGACGTACGCTTATTCGTGTACCTCCTCTTGTTAGGTCTGCTCTTCCTCTATGGGATTTGAACTTGGTTTTATCTGTTCTACAAAAACCTCTTTTCAACCTATCCAAATATTTCTTTGTCTTTTGTTATTCAAAAAGGTTGCCTTTCTTGTGTCCATTACCTCAGCTGGAAGGGTTTCCAAGTTGTATGCTTTGTTTTGTGGAGAACCCTATTTGGTTATTTGGTTATATAATAACAAGGTTATTTTATGATCACAGGTTTCCTTTTACCCAAGTTGGTTTCAACCTTTCATTTAAATGAAGGGATTGTTTTACCGTCACTTTGTCCAGCTCATCCTAAGGACATTTTTTTGGTTTGGTGGGTGATTAGAGTTTATCAGCCACATCTCCTTTTTTTTATTCTACCTGAAGGTCCTAGAAAAGGTTGTTCAGCCTCTAGATCTGCTATTTCTAAGTGGATTCTCAAGCCTGTCATTCAACCTATCCTGAGTTGCAGGATAAGGTTCCTCTTTGTCCTGTTTCTCTTCATTCTACTAGGGCAGTTAGTACTTCTTGGGCATTTCAGAGTCAAGCTTCTGTTACTCAAATTGCAAGGTCGCAATTTAGTCTCCTGTTCACACTTTTTACTAAGTTTTATACAGTTGACTTTTCTTCCTCTTTTGATGCTAGTTTTGGCAAAAAAATGTTCTGCAGGTGGTTGAGTATTTGAGCTATTTCTTCTAGTTTTTTATGGTGTCTGCTCCTCTGTTTTGGACTCCTTTTGAACACCCCAACCTCTGAGAATTTTGCAAAGCTGTGTCCCTCAATGGACAATAGAAAAAAATAGGACTTTGTTCTTACTGTAAAATCCTTTTTTCGGAGTCCACAGGGAGTGAAGGGACACAGCTCTCTTCCCTGATTTCCTTCCATACTGCTGGCTACAACTGGCAGGTGGGAGGGGTTATGTCCTTTTTAAAGTGTCCATTTCACCTAGAGGCAGCAGCATAACCTCACATCTCAGAATTCTTTAGAGCTATGTCCAATGGACTGCTAGAAAAGGATTTTACGGTAAGAACAAAGTCCTATTTTTCTGATTTCTGTACAGCCTATAGGGCCTCTTAAGCCTCAGATAGCTGTGGTGATGTGCATATGCCCTGTAGATACACTTAAATATCTTACGGTACGGATACTTATGCATGTATTTTCCAGATTTACTATTGATTTTCATAGGGAGGTTTTTGTTTTCGGTTGATGGGCCTTTTAAATTTAACAATTAGGTAAAACTTTTATTATTAGCCATATGGCAGCCTCACCTGAAATGTGTCTTATTTAAATTTTACAGCCTTTGCTGAGCTCCAGACAGACATTAACGAGCTGACCAACAATATGGATGGCGTGAAGATCCCATTCCTGGATTATAAGACATATGCAATGCGTGTGCTGTTTCCTGGAATTGAAGATCACCCTGTGCTAAAAGAACTAGATGTGAGTAATTCCCAACAATGATGCAGGAGGTGGGGCCTGCCTCACAACTGCAAAGCCATTGGTTCGACATTAAACCTTTTTCTATAGGACTTTATTATTAGTGAATGATTCTAATGTTACAACTTTCCTATACACATCTCTTTATAGAAAAAAAAATCAATCTAACGGATGCCACTACCAGACATCATTTATATTGTCAGTAAGCGCCATAACATCTTGTATTGTATTGTAACTGTAATGTCTTCCTTATATTATAAAGCGCTGCGCAAACTGTTAGCGCTATATGAATCCTGTATTATAATAATAACACTTTCCAACCTAACCACACGTCATCAGCTAGTAAAATCGCACAGTTTGCTGTGCGCTTTACGAGAAGATTTTTAGTCTCTTTTTAAAAGAAAGTGAAAATTTGTTGATTGTACATCACAGGCGAGGAGTTCAGGTGATTTGACACCGGCAAATTAAAGTTATAAGACAGCACTGGCCACTCCCAGTTTCTTTTTGCTAGGTAGGTGATGGACACTTTTGTGGTCTGCGAGAAGCACAGACTTTTTTTGTGCTTTTCCACTTCAAGACTCTTTTAGCAAGTTTCCCTAAGTTGCTCGCAGCCACTGCGGCAACTCTCACAGCTATCTGGATTGGTTTACTTCCTCACCTGAGCCTTGGCGAACCATACCCAGACCCCATTGGAAGGAAGATGTGGAGCGGGCCTGTGATGTGCTCGGACTGATGCACCACGCTGGATGAGACCGCATGTGAGGTACGAGGTAAGCCCAAGGGCTCCACCCCTGCCAGGTGCCCAGTGCTTCTGCCTTGGTTCCTGAAGGGTACATATGGGACATTGCTGCGACTCTTGTGTTGCATTAGGTTGGAACAGCGGACTCTTTCTATTTAGTGTTATTTTTTTTTCTTCTACCTGATGGCGTTAGGGAGGCTGCTTCTGCTCCTGTGCAGCCTCCCTCTGGGGGTTACTGTACTGCTCATGCAAAGTTGGCTGCTCCCATCATGGACAGTTTTCTCTTACTTGAACTTTGAAGGTCCCTAAAGATGATGTCCCTTTTTTCAAGGACATTGTGAACAAGAGGTTAGAAGCCCTCTTTAAAGCTTTATTTGCCCATCCAGGCCTGGCTATGCAACCTTCTTTTACCACCATGGCTGTGTGTCAGACTTTATCTCTATTGTCTAAACCTATGGCTAGGAACCCTGGGTCCATCTTGACAGAGCCTGCCATTTTAACCTCTTGCCATCCGCCCGTTAAGAAAAAAACGGACGGACGGCTGACTCCTATCTGCGGGTTGCCGTCGTCAGACGGCATTTTTTTCCTGCTCGCGCGCGCCCGGGCAGGAAAGACCCGCTTGTTACTACAGCCGTTAACGGCTGTTTCACATACAACCGATCAGCGGCTCTATAGCCGCTGATCGGTTGTATGGCGTGAATTTCGGAGCGCCCCCCCCAGCACGCGAAAATGACAATTGCGCTACACATGTTACATATCGCCGCGAACGTCGCAGTGAGAGCAATCATTTTAGGGCCATCAATCACTGATAACACTAAACTGATGAGCGTTAAAAGCTTTTAATGCGTCGCCTATGGCCAATTTTGGGTAATTTAGTTTTTTTGAGGTTTCGCGCGCGTGCGCAATTTTAAGGCTTGACATGTTTAGTGTCTCTTTACCCGACTAGACCCCGTCTTTTATATTTTACCAAAAAATTGAGAAATTATAAATGTTTTAGAATTTAATATAGGGGAAACTGTTTTGTTTTTTTAAAAATCTGTAATTTTTCCTTCATATATAAAAAAATAAAAACCCCAGTGGTGAATAAATACCACCAAAAGAAAGCTCTATCTGTCCCCAAAAAAGGGTATAAAATTCATTTCAGTACAGCGCTGCATGACAGAATAAATGTCAGTCAAAGTACCGCAGCGCTGAATACTGAAAAATGGCCTGGATGGGAAGGGGGTTTAACACCGCGGATGTCAACTGGTTAAAACAAGAACTTTTCCCTATGGCCCTGTAGCATTGGGTTGATGGCCTAGCAGTTGCCCTACAACAAATCTCCAGGAAGTGTTTCCTTTCTGCTAACGTGTGATTGATCCTGTGGCTTAAATGTTGTTCTGCAGAGCTTCCGTGCAAGAAGCGCCTAAAGCGCATACCTTTTGCTGGGGAACACATTTTTGGCAAATCCTTGGATACCTCCCTCAAGGAAGTCATGGTAGCAAGAGTATCTCCTTACCTCAGAAGAATTCCAAGCCTCCAGTAGCAAAATTTTCTGCCCCCTCCTTTTCAGAAAAGTTTATTTTTCATCCTTCCCAGGCCTCAGGTACCAGGCCTGAGCTAAGCACATAGTTCTGTCATAAGCTCTGGCTCTCCACGCCCACAAAATATATGAACTAGCCCTCTTCACAAAAAAGGGGCATCCCCACTTTCAAATGCAGGGGGACTTCCATCAACCTGAACCTTCTCAGCTTCATGGTTCCAGAACATTTCCAATGCCTGGGTCCAGAGCATCGTGACCAAGGATTGCGAACTGAAGTTTGGCTCCCTGTCTACTCCCTTTTGAAGGACTTGCCAAGGTCTCCTTAAAGATGGACGGATCTCTTTGCTGCCCTACATCAGCTCCTTTCTCAGGGTGTTCTAGTTCCCATCTTGGAGGGAGAAAGGCTTCAGTTGTTCTATTCCCACCTAAGTGCAGTGCAAAGTTGGGATGCCCTATCCTTGATCTGAAAATCCTTAGCAGGTTCCTGTTGGTCCAAAGTTCTGTATGGAATTTCACCCAATCAGTCATCACCTCCCTTCACCCAGGCGATTTCCTGGCCTCCGTGGACATCAAGGATGGATATTTGCATATCCCTTTGTTTTGCTGTGGACACACAGCACTATAAATTTGTTGCCCTTTCTTTTGGCTTGTCCACGGCTCTCTAGGTATTAATGTTTTTATGACACTGGGATCAGTTCATATTGATTGATGGTGTCCTTGACTGGTAAAAACAAAAATCCTGTTTTTGTCCATGTGCCTCCTTTCTTTTGTTGAAGTCAAGATGAAGCCACTCCCCTACCAGCACTAAACACACCTGTCATTCATTTGCCTGTCAAATGTTGTGGCATCAGTGGGCAGGCTTTCCATTTGATGGTTGAATGTCAGGGACAAACGGAAGAGGGTAGGGCTTAGTCTTGAACTTTTTTGTGTTGGGATTTTTTTAATGCTTAATTTAAATGCTTAATTTTTAAATCAGTTCATCATATTTTGCTCTTAAGATTGAACAGTTACTCATTATGCATTATTGTTGCTCTCACCAGATGCCTCCGAATGTGGAGAAAGCTCTGAGACTGTTCGGACAGCTTCTAAACAACAAAACATTCTTATTGACTTTTATTCATACGCTGGAAAACCAACGTAGTTTCTCCATGCGGGACCGCGGTAATGTGGCCTCCCTTACCATGGTGTCGCTACAAGGACGCATGGAATATGCAACAGTCGTCTTGAAACAGCTGCTGAGTGACCTGATTGAGAAGAACCTAGAGAGCAAGAACCATCCTAAATTACTGTTACGCAGGTGAGACAAACTACCACTCCATGAGTGCAGTCTGGTGACTGACTAAAAAAGATGGCACAGTCATTTGAATGGAAACCCCAACCAAAACATTTTGCTTGTTTTGGATAGAAGGAACAGGGTTAAAGAACCACTCTGGGCAGTAAGAAAATGATGTGCTCGTTTGGGTCTAGCATGCACTCACCAGATCCTCTGACCCGCCAGGCTGCTAGACCGGTCCATGGCGGTCTAATGACCCTTGATGTCTATTACGCATGAAGAGGCCAAGGGACATGAGATACAGTTGAGTGTATATTTTATTTTAGACACAAGACCAAAATGAGCACTTAACATTTGCAGTTGCCTTTTTTAACTGCCCAGAGTAATTATTTTAAATATCAAGTTTGTATTTCCCCTCATTTGCTTTCCTGGTTATGTTGCTCACCCTGACAGGAGATCTACTGAATGGGAACACTTATTTCTTAATGGGGGCCGTCTTTGTTACCATGTGACTATGATCACAGGAGCAGAAAGTGAGGAGAAATCTCCCCAAAGCTCCAGACAACTGTAAAAACTGAGGTTTTAACCTTACTGATACAAAACGTAAAAGGAAAAAAACATGGTCTATAGTTGGACATGGCCCATTACAGAGTGCATTGATGAGATGATCAAAAGTTAGTGTGCATGAAGATAAAGGTGATCTCACAAATGTTTGTACTGTGGAAATCCCTTCCATGTGCAAGGATAATTGCATTGCCATACTGCAAGTGTGGCAGCAGCACAATGGGGGCCACAAAGTCTCTTCACTGAAAGTTGAAGCAATGAATAGAGACTCTTCTACACATGTGCAGAAGAAGCAGAGCCCACCAGGGAGACTTTTGATGGAGGCTGTGCAGCTCCCAGCAAGCTGCACAGTAGAAGACTTGGGATGGATGCTGGAAGTTATCTGTTCTAAAAAGAACATTTATCCTTTCATGGTGTTAAATTACTGGACAGTATGAGAGACAGCATGCGAGAGAAAGTCCTTTAGTAAAATTATAGCAAATTCATTCATAAATTTAGAGCAATAGCTGGTAGTAGAAAGGGCACATCTGAGGGTGTATACTTGGCATTGTATAGAGGGACAAGGGAAGAGAGATCAGCAGGATTGCTAAGGGCATTATATGAGGACTCCAATGTTCAGTTAAACCTTGTGGAGGAAAGTAGCCAGTGCTGAGGTTGGCTGTAGTAAAGTGGATGGTAAGGAAGAGAAGACTTACTTATTTTGATTTTATGTCTCCCTGCAGGACGGAGTCAGTAGCTGAGAAGATGTTGACAAACTGGTTCACTTTTCTACTGTATAAGTTTTTGAAGGTAAGAAGTCTGGAAACTACATTTAGATGTATCCCTATCACACACACACTGCTATCAACCCCCCTTTTTCAACCACATTTGGTAATTCCAATCTCTCCTTCTGTATTGTTATCCCTCACTTCCAGCCTCAGCAGGACAAGTTGATATCTTGAAAACCCAAACCTTCAACATAGAATAGCTAACACTTGTTCTTTGCTTAACTTTTTTCTAAATGTGCTTTTCATTATAGTTTATACTGCTAATTCCCACTGTTATTTCCAGCTGTTTGAAATCTTTAATCTGTAACCCACTTAAATCATCATCTATATAAATAAAATTTTATTCAAATATGATCAGAAGCAAGAGAAATGCCAAATGTGCTGGAATTCTACCAGGACAGCACCGATCAGGATCAGAATTCCTGTAAACTGGAACATTTTTTGATCTGCTCTTTTTTGTCCTGGAAGGTATAAAGGTCTACAATGAAATGTAAAAAAATACTTCCCAGTGAGTATCAGGTGATCTGAGTTGTTTATAACAAATGACACAAAAGCAGAAAAGTGTCACAGACAGGCTTTTGTTTACACTACAGGCATGAGACGTCCTAGAAAAGGACTCTTATTGGTCATTGGGGGACAAAGCGGCCTCTAGGATGTTGGTCCTTTCACTTTTTTAGGTGCTTTCCCCCAAGGCCATACCCTCTGGATAGGACACTAAAACGTCCGTGTTGGAGGATGGGACACCTCAGCCCACTTCTCTACTGCTCTGATTATTTTTCAAATGACAATGACCGGAAAGCAAGAATCGTTACTTGCCTGCTTAAATATCCTGTTTATTGCTGACATTTAGCCTGTTGCTCTCTGTTAAACTTCTCCCTCTGTCACATGACTGTGTTCAGCCCTATACGTGCTGAAAATATTACCACCTGACAAATGGTGGGCTAGAATTTGGGTCCTCTGCGCAGTAGTCCTGCGCCCCCGGACCTTACACAATCAACCCCTATAACTGTACTCACAGCTTGCAATCTGATTGTGCTATCTTCTTTAGCTCTACCAACTATTGAGTGGATTGTTCAGGTAGGGCTTCTACTCTTGGACTTTTGGTCATGCTTAAGGAGAACGCACATTCAGATTGTAAGGTGCATTGCCAGCCTATGGTTTGAATATGAATATGTCCTTTGCAAGAAGGAAAATAAGGTTGGTATGAGGGACTTGGAGTACATTGCAAAGGAAAATGGTAGGTGCTCTTTTCCTTTATTAATTTAGACTTTCCATGATATAAATTAACAATTTTATTAGGGCTGCAACCAACTAATCGATAATGAGAATAGTTGTTAACTATTCTCATTATCAATTAGTTGGTTACATCCCCTAGCTCTCTCTTCCATGCTGGGAGGAGGGAACAGCATGCAGTGGGTGGGTGCAATAGCCAGCCTGCTAGTTTGAAATGGCCAATAGCAGGCTGGCTATTGCACCAGCCCACTACCTGCTGTATTTACATTCAGCTGCCATCTGCGGAATCTTGCCACTGGCAGCTGTCATTCCCTGGCTGAAGCTATTCAAGCGACCGGTGCTTACAATACAATTATTTAAAAAAACAATTTTAGGTGGGAAAGAAAGTAATTTTCGGTTTCAGCCTGACCAATTCTGCTGTGGGAGGTGCGTTGCAGTGCCATTCATTTCAATAAAACTTAAAATTAATGTCACCAGCACACCAGGATGCAGCTTGAATATCAGTGCAAATCCAGTTTATTGATGTCACTCAGACAAGCATTTTCAGGGCCGCACCGGGTCCCCTTCATCAGGCTCATATTTCTGATCCTGATAAAGGGGACCCTGTGCGGCCCCGAAAGCGTTTGTCTGAGTGACATCGATCAATAAACTGGATTCGTGTGCTGGTGACATCTATGTTAAGTTTTATCCATCTATGATAAGTTTTACTGGAAGTGGCGCCATCCGCAGTCATTAGTTCACCCATAGTTCTGGGACATCCAGTAAGGAGTGCTTCGAGACATTTGGACACCGTTCATTTCAGTGGCACCCCAAACGTGCCTCCCACCCACAGTGTGATCGCCCCCACGGTACCGCAATGCATTTGTGTATTTCATTTAAAATTAAGGATGGTATTTGTTTAACTTTTTTTATCTGATTAATCGAAAAAATAATCGGCCAACTAATCGAGTATGAAAATTATCATTAGTTGCAGCCCTAGATTTTATTTGTTTCAGGAAGAGATCAAACAGATGTAATGTGGCTTGTGGGAGTTCTAGCCTTTGCCTTAGGTTCACAATGAGATTGTTTCCCTGCTGCTCTGACCCATTGTGGCCATGTCATGTGACAAATGAAAGTAAAAGTTTGTGGTAACATGAGTGTATTTCTTGCCTTATAGGAATGTGCTGGAGAGCCGCTCTTTATGCTCTTCTGTGCAATAAAGCAGCAGATGGAGAAAGGCCCTATTGATGCCATCACTGGGGAAGCCCGCTACTCACTAAGTGAGGACAAACTTATCCGTCAACAGATCGACTACAAAGTTCTGGTAAGTCTAACGTAATGGTCTACAATACATCATCCCAAGCATATTATGATGCACTGTACTATAGAATGCAGCCAACCACCTAGGTCTTTCACCATGGGCCCCTCTTTACCCTTAAAGGAAAGGTGTAGTTTTAGAAAGTTTTCGGTTTCTGAAATGGCCAAATATATGAATATATGAATGCGTGCTAAATATAACCGTTCACTCATTTTTGGAATAAATCTCATTTCAAACTGTGCCACTGGTGTGGCATATTTGTGAGGTTTACATCATAGTAAGGGTGCCTACTTCAATATGATGGTTAGGAAAGGCCTATTGAAGGCTGGACAACATTGCACTGCAAGCCAGCTTAACACAACCCCCCACCTGTTCTCCTTCAGAAAAGGCAGCTACCCATAGCAAAGAGTATATGGAGGCCCAGAGGTGGACCTTATATGTGCTTCCAATGCATTCCTTCACACACAATTTCTCTGCGAGCAGCTGTTTGTTTTGTACACAGCAACAATAAAAATAGAAGGATAGAAAGAACAGAGTATGTACCGAACACCTGTAATAAAAAGAGTAAAATCTGAAACTAAATATAACTGTAGAGAATAAGAAATACACATGTATGAAAAAAACACAATTAAGGTCCTTGTGTCTCAGAGCCCATTCACTCCTCTGTGTGTGTGTTTTAATATGCGTTGTGCAGCCTATGCCTATTTATTTTCTATGAACGAGCTTCAAAGAACTAAAAACTGTACCCGAGTCATTTTTGGCCAATACATTGCAATAGAGGAACATGTGTAGTCACATGTGGGCATTGTGGTGTGTTGAAGGGTTGTGGTGTTTACTGCCTGACATATGCTGGGGTACCATTAGAAAAAAGTAAGCACAAAACAGATGTACATTGCAAGTTGCCAACGCACATCGAAATGTGCAAACATAGGTGTGGTGATCGCTTTAAAAGGATCCTCTTCAGATAACGATATGGGTGCTGCCATTACTGAGACGGAGGTCACTTGAACTTGACAGACCTGTTTACTGCCTCACCTTTCACATTTTCTCAGCTTGAATGCATTTTGTAAAGTAAGGCAGTTGATGGGCAACAAGCATCAGAGCTTGGGTAACATTTAACCCCTGACACTCCAGTTAGCATCAGGCCTGAAGTAAGGAAACCTTTAATAAGGAAGGGGGAGGATTATGAAAATTTAATAAGGAAGACTGCACAATTGTAATTATTTAAGACTTACAATTTGAAGTATTGCATAAGCCCATTTGTTACTGGTTCTCCTTAACTGTTTATTCTTCACCACAGACTCTGAGTTGCATCTGCCCAGACAGTGAGAATGGCACAGAGATCCCTGTTAAGGTTCTCAACTGTGATACGATTACCCAGGTGAAGGACAAGCTGCTAGATGCTGTATACAAAGGGATTCCCTATACACAGAGGCCGAAAGCGGAGGATATGGACTTAGGTGAGGGTCGTAAGTTCACAGCTATGAGACCAATAGATTTCAACTGCAGACATCAAGGTGCTGTTTTTTACATCTCTTCAGACTCACAGATGTGATTATTAGTGTTCTCTTACACAGGTTACTAGTTTTTGCAACTGTGCACCTGTATGTCACTGAGACAAACACTGGGCTCAGTACACACACCAGTATAAAGATCTTTATTTTTGGAAGAGTGCATTATTTTACAGCTCCAATGAGAATTGAAAATAAGTCACATTGCTCGAATAGGTATAGGGGTTGCTGTAGACAGTTCCACAACACCAGGTTCCCCCAGCACACTCTCCATTAACAGGTCGGGGACTTGTGCAGCCATTGAGAGAGTGGGACAGATGTCTGTGGCTTTAAACTTTAGCTTTGATGGCCTGTTAGAAGCCTCCTGATTTGTTTCCCACATTAGCCTCTTGTCACTACATGTATGTAAGACCCTTGGCTGAAGTGCTGGGCTACTGAACATTTTTGTAAGAAGCATTTGATCATCATGGAATTCAAAAAAAATTCCAGGGTGGTCCCCCATCCAGCACTGTCTGCTACTCCAAAGTTGCCAAGACCACAAATTTTTCTCATTATGAAGGTGCACCGCCACTTCATTATGAAGGAGCACCCTGAAAACATCAACAGACACCAACAGGGTGTGTCTGTTGACGTTTTCAGCATCCCTGTTGCTTGGGTGCAAGAGGTGTTGTCTCAGGTTTGCACACCTTCCTTGGTTTCTAATGTCAAAGCTTCCTGTTTCCCCTCAGCAACTTTCCAATTTTCTCTGGTAGTCGCTTGACATCTGGACCAAGGGATCATTGTCCCAGTTCCAGCTGCAGAATGGTTTCAGGAGTCTACGTACCGTATATACTCGAGTATAAGCCGTCCCGAATATAAGCCGAGGTACCTAATTTTAGCCAAAAAAACTGGGAAAAAGTATTGACCCGAATATAAGCCGAGGGTGGGAAATGAGGCAGCTACTGGTAGATAGATACCATTAAAATACATTAATATTTATTTAAAAGAAACGGCACCCAACATTTCGGATGGAAATAGCCAGATCCGTCATTGCTTCCCTTCACCAGGGATATTTCTTGGCTTCTGTGGACATAAAAGATGTCTACTTACATGTGACCATCTTACCAGCTCGCAAACATTTTTGAGGTTTTTGCTTTAGGGCTTCAGCACCATTAGTTTGTGATCCCTTATACTGGGCCTGTCTTTTGCACTTTGGATTTTCACCAAGGTGCTAACTCCAGTGTTGGTCCTGTCTATGGTTCAGGTTCTTCAATCCAGAAGCCATCCGACCCTTTTTTCTGTACTATGGTCTTAGGGCTAATGGTAGTCTCCTTTTGGTTCCATTTGACCAATTCAACTCCAGACATTTGCAACGTAAAGTCCTGTCATCAAGACACATGTTAGATCTGTGTGTGCACAAACTGATTTAGTAAACACAGAGGACCAGACCCAGGCCTTGTTGGCTCTGGGATTCAGCGTTCCTGGGCACCAGAGTAAGGAGTGCCTTGTCAATACAGGGGACTTGGTCTTGAGAAGAATCTTGTCTCCCTATCAACATCTTGGAACTTTGGGAGATCTGGCTATTCTTTTCAGTGTTGGACCAACCTGTTGGAGGACCATCCAATCAGATCCAGTCAGGCAACTTCATGTTGGTGGTGTATGTCAGCAATCGGGAACGAACAAGAAGTCTTGCTGCAGCAGCAGAGGTAGAGCAGAGCTTCGGGTTCCAGCCTTGTTAGCTATTTACTTTCCAGGTGTAGTCAATTGTCAGGCAGATTTCAACAGCTGGCAGCCTCTGGTGGAGAGTGGTCTCTGCACCTGGAGGTGTTCAAGGACCGTGTCACAGGTGTTGGATGCCAGATGTGGGCCTGCAGGTTCAACTACAAACTGGACAGGTTTTTACCTAGAAAACAAAAGCAGAAGAGCGCTCAACCATGTGCCGTATCATCAGATTCATTTAAATCGTTAAAAACAGTATCAAGTACTAACCACATTTGTAGCAATGAGAAGTCTCCATGTGCAAGGAGGATCTTTATAACCATCCAAGTAAACACAAACGGCAAACACCATTTTTTTATCTAGGTACAGAGATCTGTTGGAGGAATAAGTGGGTGCTGTAGTGGGTCCACGGGATCAATACACCCTGATGTATGCCTTTCTTCCCCTGAAACTTAATTCTTGTCTGTTCTGTAGGATCGAGATGGAGGGCATTCAGATGATGCTGATTGGTCCAGACTGGCCCGGGTGGATGTAATACACCAACCTGATAAGACTTCTTGCATAAGTATCATCTGTTGTCCCCCAAGGACTGATTTACCACTTCTCAGTTGCTGGCTTTACTGGCATGGCTATTGAAGCCCAGGTTCTAAAAGATGGGCATCTGAGTCTGATTTCTACACTACTAGCCTAGGAAATCCACCTTCGACAATATCTTTGGATGTGGAAGATACTTCGACCAAGCAAAGTAAATAAGGGCTTTCTCAATGGAACGGATCCTGTTTTCTGTAATTTGGGCTCATACCAATGCTTAGCAAGTAGTAACATCATGAGGCAGATCTCTGGCCTTTTAATTCTATTTAGAGACACCTGGTTTCTCCCTCTCTGATTAGGACTTTTGTGTGTGGGGAGGTCTCCCATGGCCCCCCTGAGTCCGACCACCCCCCTTGCATCCATGGGATTTGAACCTGATTTGTTTGTGCTTCAAAAACACCTGTTTGACCCTATCAGAGATATTCCTCTCTTTACTCTGATCCACAAAGTTGCATTTCTTGTGGCCATCACCTTGGCTAGAAGAGTGTCTGAGCTGGCGGCTTCATCCTGCAGGGTCGCCTTTTTTTTTCTTTTTTTTTTTATTCTGCACAGGTAGAAGGACTTCTTCCCCAAGGAAGTCTCAGCTTTCCACCCGATAGTCCCTCTATCCGGCTCCAGTTCATTTTCCCTCCAATGTTTAGATGTGTTTCAGGCTGTGCGAGTCTTTCAGCCACTGCTTCTTTCAGGAAGACCGATTCCTTTGTTTTTCATTCTGGATAGGCCCAAGGCTTCTTTTTCCACCATTTGTAGGTGGCTCAGGCAGAATATCATTCGGATTTCCCCCTTTCCAGTTAAGGCTCACTCCAGTGGAGCAGTGAGCGACTCTTGAGCTTTTCGGCATCAGGCCTGTTTCCCAGATTTGCAAGTCTGCCACCTGGTTTTCTCTCACATTGTCTAACTTCTACCAGGTAGACATTTCTGACTCATCTGATGACAGCTTCAGGCATAAGGTACTTTAGGTGACTCCTTGAGCAGCACACAGTCCCCAGTTCTTCTTCACACTGGGCCTGTTAAAGGGTTGTTTGCTGTGTTACTCACCCTACTGTTGGATTGCTTTTGGACTTCCAAAAGGCCTAAGACTTCCATTGTTCCTCAGTGGATGAGAAAGAAAATAGTATTTTTCTACTCCTTAAAATCCTTTTCTTGGAGCTTTATGAGAGACAATTGCGGCATGCTGGTAGTTGCACTGTTTATACCCTGGGTTGGCCTTCAGGTTTTTTTGTTTTGTTTGCCAGTGTCCAATCCTGCTGTAGGTGGCAGCATAACCCAAATACCTCCTGTGTCCCTTAATGCACTCCAAGAAAAGGATTTTTCGGTGTGTACAAAAATCCTATTTTATTTTTGTAAACACTTAGCAAATTGAGATTACTTAATTTTGTCTTTGAGGGCTTGACGCTAAGAAGCTATGTTTAGAGGGCCAGTCATATTTGTGTTTTGAAGTACCCAGGTCACTATACATACTGTACCTTCCAAGTAATTTTAGAATACAGTTCTTTAGGACATTTAGGCCCAATACAGCTAAGGATTCTAAAAGTATTAGTAGAATTTGGGTCAGTTTTGGGGGTTATATATAGTTAAAAGTTTGATGTAATAAGTAATATGTTAGGTGAAAAAAAAATTGGTGACATTCTCATTTGTCTGTCTCTGCAGAGTGGCGCCAGGGCCGCATCACCCGCATTGTGCTACAGGATGAGGATGTCACCACCAAAATTGAGTGCGACTGGAAGAGGCTGAACACACTGGCACATTACCAGGTGAGTCATACAGCATACACAGTCATATTGCCCTCAATCCTGGTCTTGTCTTCCTGTTGCACTTCCTATTATACTTGTTGATTTACAAGGTGCATTTATATGCTTTTACAGGTTACAGATGGCTCCACTGTGGCTCTCATTCCCAAGCAGGTATCGGCCTACAACATCACCAACTCCTTCACTTTCACACGCTCTCTCAGCCGCTATGGTAACTATATTAAACTCATTTTCTCACCGATAGCCTCCAGACTATTTAAGTTCCTCCTTTTCTTTAGTGCATAAAATACATTTTCGCATGGTGTCCTCTCCTTCATATTTAGAATAAAAGGTATATGTGCAAGAATTCAAAGGTGGTAGCCATGATGTGTATCTCATGCATTGTACAGGATAGTCATGGCTGTTTTTTGTCATGTAAAACCTGTCAAGTGTGTGTGTTGGTGACAGCTGTATATCTGTTATGTGCAGTAGTCTTTCATTGCGCATTGAATTGTTTACTTGTATCTATGTAATGCTATGTCACATTTTCAGAGAGTCTTCTACGTACATCCAGCAGCCCAGACAGCTTGCGATCGCGAGCTCCCATGATTACCCCTGACCAGGAAACTGGCACTAAACTCTGGCATCTGGTGAAGAATCACGACCATACGGACCATAAGGAGGGTGACCGTGGCAGCAAAATGGTGTCAGAGATTTATCTCACTAGGTTATTGGCCACAAAGGTAATACTAAACGCTGTGTGTGTGTATATGTGTATATATATATTTAAAAAAAAAAATATATATATATTAGTGACTTAGTGGGCAAATGTTTGACAAATTTTTGCTCTGATGCCTCTTGTAGGGTACACTGCAGAAGTTTGTGGATGACCTGTTTGAGACTGTGTTCAGCACAGCCCACCGGGGCAGCGCCTTGCCTCTTGCCATCAAATACATGTTCGACTATTTAGATGAGCAAGCTGATAAAAGGCAGATATCGGATCCAGATGTCCGACACACGTGGAAAAGTAACTGGTGAGCAGCAAATACAGTTTAAAGTCTGAGCAGAAACGTACATCTCAAATTTTGTGTGTTGGTTAACAAACTGAAAAAAAACTGTCTGACAAACCAGAGCAAACCTATACATACAACCCCTACATTATGACATATTTTTTGTGAAGACCTCTTGATTGACAATCAAAACTTTATAAGATACTTAAAGAGGAACTTTACCCATATTTATTTATTACAGGTATTTATATAGCGCCGCCAATTTACGCAGCACTTTACATAGTTGCTCACTCACATCAGTCCCTACCCTCAAGGAGCTTACAACCTAAGGTCCCTATTTCACATACATACAGGGCCAACTTACAAATGAGCCAATTAACCTACCAGCATGTCTTTGGAGTACCCATATCTTCAAAACAACAAAGGCACCTTTGAAAATATTTAGTAATGACAATCTACAAGCACATACTTCTAAGTAATTGCCGGCGTTGTTTACTGTGCATACCTTGTTTTTCTCTTCTTCCCCAGTCTTCTGACAGTGGCCATGTTTACTAAGGGCAGGTTACTAGATCTCCCTTTACTTCCTGAAAATCTAGCACATGTGACTAGGACATGTGACCATGCACATCAGGGGAGGAAAATGCCTTTCCCTCAGATCTTGTGAAATTACAGATACGATTTCCCAGCAATGCTCTGCTGATGTAACCTTCCCAGGATGCAATGCTTGGGCACGATTACATCATTTGTGCCAAAGTAGACCAGGAAGTAGAAAAAAAGAAATTGTAAATAAAAGTAAATTATGTTTAGCTAATGAATGTAAGATGATTTCATATCAGCATGCAGAGCTGTATGCTGATGTGATTTTTAGTCAAAGGGGGGTAAGGTCCACTTTAAGACCATCTTTTGGATTCCATCACAAGGTTCAAAATATTTTCCAATTCTTATATTTTGGGGAACATTTGTATCATCTAGTCTTGCATTATGGTGACCACAAGCAGCCAGAAAAGCAATGTGGCAGGTTCAGGCATCTTTTGCTATGAGTGATTAACTAGGGGTGAAAACAAGTGCTTCTGGGCGTCAGAGGTGCCTGTTAGCACGTCCAGAAATGTCCCCACTCTTTGGAAGTTCCTATATGACCACACGATATCTGCCCCTTCTCTGTGGAGAAATGTGAGCCTTTCGCTGTGCATGCAACATCCATTTATTCAGCTGTGTTAGGGAGGAAGTCTGGAATTCCAGGACTGCAGCAATGATGGGCCAAAAATGTGTTTTCTATGAGTGATCTGCCTGTTTGTGGCCAGATTTATCATTGCAACGTTGATTTCATCACAATTTATTTTTTTTGTGCATGTTAAAATAGTTAACATAATGTAAAGAATCAGATCAGTAGGTGTTAAAATACATCTAAAGCCAGAACCTTTTTCTTGCTTGTCCACTGAGAGACACAGGTCCGGAGAGACACAGGTCCGGAGAGACGCACGATAGTTTACCTTTCATAAATTTGTGTTGCGTTAATATGTGGTAAAATGTCTTGCCATGTGCTACCACCAAACACGGTAACCTTATTGTTTGATCTCTTGTAACTTCCCCAGATGATTCTTTTCTTTCCTCTTGTCCCATTTTCAGTTTGCCTCTCCGCTTCTGGGTCAACGTGATCAAAAACCCGCAATTTGTCTTTGACATTCACAAGAACAGCATCACAGACGCCTGCCTCTCAGTAGTGGCTCAGACATTCATGGACTCTTGTTCCACCTCTGAGCACCGACTTGGAAAGGACTCGCCAAGTAACAAACTGCTGTATGCCAAGGACATCCCTAACTACAAGACCTGGGTAGAGAGGTGAGTGCAGGGATTGGTCACTTTCTTGTGTTTTCACCCTTATGTAGGAGGACGTGACGAATTGCTATGGAATTCACTTCTGTGTACACCTATCATGGAAAAAAAAGATGAAGGCTGTCCATTGTGACTGCTCTGTCTGGAAACACTAGTTGACTTGGCTGTCCTGATGTCCGATTTGATATAATACTTTGAATAAATGACAAAGAACAAGCGTATGTAGATAAGACTAGTTTATTTTTATTTAGTAAAACAAGGCCTCGTTCTTGACTCAAAGTATTGCTGCTGTTTCCCGAAAATCTGCTGTGTTCAGTCAGTCTGCTTTGGGAAAAAAGGGGATCAGCAATGTACAACTACTGCAGCACTACAAAGCAGGAAGCAGAGCCTGCTTTATATATAATGAGCATATATGGATGGACCTAGAAGCAAGGTTTGTTTAAATACAAAGTCAATTGCAACAAGGTCTGCATTTTTAAAACTAATGCCTTTTTAAAATGTGTTGCATAGGGCAATGTACCTAAGAATGCCCAATCCTCCAAACTGACTCCCACCCATCAGAGCATTTTGATATTTGCATAACTCCTCCCAAGAGCCAGCCTACTGATCGAATCAGGGCTGAGGGCTCTTTACAGTGGCCTGCCTCAGTACTCCTGTCATATTTTCAGGAACAGTACACTGCTAACCCCTCCCATGATCTGCCTGTATTGCATAAATAAGCACCGAGACAGAGCAGCTGTGGATCGTAACCAATCGGCTTCTCTCCATCTTGTTCAGTTGAGCTTTGATAATGAAAGCTGGAAGCTGATGCCATGCACGGCTGCTCCAGTTTTTGTCCACTACAGTCTTTGTAAATTCCCCTCACTGAATTTTAAAATAAGGTGTGCAATGAAAACTAAAAGCTTTTATTTCAAAATATCATTGGCACGTTGACACGGCCGTAGGAAGGGCGAGGCGAGTGAGGCACTCGCCTCGGGTGCAGGCTGGGGGCGCAGCCAGGACACTGGTATTCCGCCAGTTGGGGGGGGGGCGCCGCGGGCCCGAAGATTTTTTTAGACCACACATTCGGGTGACAGCGATCGCACTGTGGGTGGGGCGCATGGCTGCGGTGCCATCGACTTCAATGCGCAGCCACACCCCCTCCCGCCCCAAAACACAGTGAGCTGGCCGGGTTTTTGTTCTAGTGCGTTAGAGTCCGAACGCACACTTTATGGTGTGACTGGGCCCTCAGGCTGGGACCCACTGCACGCGAAGCAGCGCGGTGGCGCGCTGCCTTCACATGCATTGTGTCATGTAATTTTGTCTCCGGCACGTCAGCTTGCTAGAGCGCGCATAGCTGAGCGTGCTGAGATTAAAAATGTCATCTTCAACCAATCGGCTCGCGCGTATAAACCCACGCGTCAAGATGCGAAGGCCATTCGTTTATTACGCGCGAGCCAATTGGCTGACGATGCAGTCCTTCATCTGGCCACGCTCAGCTCACACACTGCATGAGAAGCTCCATGCCTGACAGCTTTGCTTTGCTCTGCACGGCTTTGCATGTAGTGTGTCACAGGCTTAAAGGAGAATTATAATCTGAGCCGACCTGTGACAATGAAACTGTCACAGGGCGGCTCAATAGATCGGGAAGTAAGCGAACACATACCGTCGCTCGCTCACTTCTTGATCTATCCCTGCAGAGAGCCATGACTGTCACTCACGGCACTCTGCAGGGATTCCCCCCTCCCCGATCCACCAGCGCTGACTGGCGGAACGGACGGGGGGGAGGGCACAGCTCGCTCTGCCTCTGGATAGGCAGAGCCAGCTGTTAATCCCCCAGCTGGATGTATCCAGATAGAATTGTCGGGATCCGCTTCAGTTGCGGTGTCTCAGTATACCGCGAGCTACAGCTTGCGGTATACTGAGCCTAGGGTGACGGGAGGATGCTAGTTTGTGTCCTCCCCTTACCCTAAGGAGAACTTTGGGGAAAAGCCCTAACCCCATAGTTCTCCTTTAACTACACTGTAAGTTTATGTTAAGTTACATATCTTTATGATTCTTATGTAACTGAAATAAACGGTTTAAATATCATTAATTCCTTGGTATTTATTTAGTTTCCTCAAAAAAACATTGGGGGGGGCACAATTTTCTGTTCTTGCCTCGGGCGCAAAAAATAGGCTAGCTACAGCTCTGCGTTGACATTTCGGGTTTAATTGTCTTTGGTTTATTTCTCCATCCTTATTCTATGTGTGTGTTTGTATTTGTCTAACTCTGATCTTTGATAATGGGTGTTGTATGTCTGTAGTCTCTGACAGCTTTCTTTAGCATTACATTTAGTGAATATTATATTCAGCTATTTGGAGATTTCTGGGGCCACACTTTAGGCTTCTTTTATAAAGTAAGCTGGCCACTACTGCTCTAGTTCCTATGTAATACCTGGAGATAAAGAAGCAGCTCTTTGACCTAATATCAGCTGTGCTTCAGTCTGCTATGATGGATGACTTGTCTAAAGCCTTCTCCTTTCCCCTATGCAGATATTACAGAGACATCAACAAAATGCCTACAATCAGCGACCAGGACATGGACGCGTATCTTGTGGAGCAGTCTCGCCTCCATGCAAATGAATTCAACTCACTCAGCGCTCTCAGCGAGCTCTTCTTCTATGTCAACAAATATCGGGAGGAGGTAAGTCCCTGGTGTAGTGCTTCAAAGGGACATGACTGATGTTATCAGTAATCTTTTTTTATATGCTTTGTGCTTTAACCCCTTCCCGACCAATGACCGTATTATACCGTCACAATCGTTCAGTTAATAAACAACCGGTGACGGGATAATCCTGTCATGCGGTACAATGAGCGCTGGTCCTTGGAAAGACCAGCACTCATTGAGTTACTGCTATTGCTTGGGTCCCTTGGGGTCTGAGGTAGACCCTCAACAGCAGAGTAGGTGGTCACAGCAATAGCTGATCGCTGTGATCACAGAGCCATGGCAGTCACAGAGCCGGCAGCAGCTCACTGTGTTGTGCAGCTGTGAGACGGCTGTGTGTTACAAACTGATACAAAGTATCTCTGAGGAGAATACTGTATTCTGTTCAGAGATACTAAGTATCAAAGCCCCTGTAAATAAACCCTTAGTGCCCACTAGTTTAAAAAAAAATGTAAAAGTAGATTTTTTAAAAAATTTAACAAAAACGAAAAATGTTTTAAAAAGTCAAAAAAATATATTGAATAAAAAAATTATTAGAAAATATAGTGGTGAGGAGGCTATTAAAGACAGCAGAAAAACATACCACATTCTAAAATTTTCTAAACTAAAATTTGTATTTCACTGTATTTTTGTATTTTGTAACCTATAACTGCCCAAATAAACTGCCCCGACATATGCTATACCCTATAAATCAGGACAAACATAAGAATGTATTATGAATTTCTGTTAGCTACACTAATTATATACACATTATTATTGCCAAAGCTGTGAAAGTGTTGTTTTTTTTTTTTTTTAAATAAAACAAAAAATAGATATACGTCACATCAAATTAAACCCCAGTTTGTCCTTTAAAAAAACAGTATATAATATGTGTAGGTGTAATGAAGGAGGAAGATGGAAATTATGGGTAGACAAGCAAATTGCTCTAGTCCCCAGGAACGAAAAATTTTTTGGAAGCTGTGCCACTAAGGGGTTAATTACATTTTAAAATTGTTTGTAATCTCATTTTAATCATTAAACAAATGCAAATTTATCATGTAAAAAATTCCCACAAACGATTATATTTTTTCTTTAATGTGAATGTACGTTTGTTTCATATATATTTTCTAGGCACCTCCAAGCAAATTCCTGTTGCTTGCAGAGCCCAAAGTTGAATTTTACACAGAAACTGCTAAATTAGTCTCAGGAGTGACACACGTCCCCCCTTCCCTACCTTCAGAAAATCTCTACAGACCGTCCATCTTATAATGATGGTGCAGTAGAAATGTGTTGGGGGCAGGAGGTAGCTTGTTTGCACATTAGAATGGTGATAATGACGAGACCTTGGAGGCTGCTCCGGGTATGTACACGCACCCCCTAGTTTGACAGTTCAGGACAGACCTAGCACCCCCTAGTTTGACAGTTCAGGACAGACAACTGCATTTACCCCATGGTGGCATTAGGGTGCAGAGATATCATCTTCTCAGAGTTCATTGCTAGAGGACAGATTAGCCAGCTCCATACAACACATATTATACTCTTTCTATAATCGCCCTCTTTTTTTCTTTCAGATCCTCACTGCTTTGGATCGAGATTCCTATTGCCGGAAACATAAACTGCGCCAGAAGATGGAACAAGTCATTAACATGGTCTCAAGTAATAGCTGAACCTTGTGAACCCCTTCTCTGTCCCTTATCCCCTCAACCTCAACTCCCCAGGACCCCAAGATGAGCCAGAAACTGATAGGTAGTGGCCCACTTGGAGGCCAACGACTAGAAGGGTGACGGGCAATGTGCAAAGCGATGGCACTGCCACAGAGACTCCACAGAGCCACCGACGGGACCTGTGTGACCAGCGCCTGAATCCTTTACCCGAGTTAGCAGCCGATCTTCACCAGCCATGGCACAGTGTGCCCCATGGCATGCCCACTCCTCATTCTTCTTCTATGACGGTGTGACAAGGTGCCCGTGTTCCAGTGCCTTGTGCTTGGGAGAGCAGAGCCTTGACTGCACACCTTTGGTGTAATATTTTGCTGACCATTAGGCGGGGTCGGTGTGCACACCATTCACTCTCTCTGCATAACTTCTCGAGGGGGTCCGCGTCCTCACCCACCTTCTCGCCCCTCTCGTCACTAGACTGCCTGGACTCTCTGGCCAATCAGGAGCTTGCACACAGTGAGGACGTCGATGTTTTGGTATCATGAAGCCATATGACTCAGAGGGACACCTTCCCCACCCCCCTTCCCAATGTTTGTTACCCACTAATAATCTCAGTGCACTATTGTTCCCCAAATCTCCTTGCTGCTCCTCTCCTGTGTTTTCAGTGCACCCCCAAGACTTTGTGGAGAGACGATGGAGTTATTTCATATCTGTGACGTGAAAATCGAGGGGTTCCCCAGATTTTAGGTATCGTAGGTAGGCGGGGACTCCCTTTATGTTAATGAGATTTTGTGCCATGCGGTATCAGTGGTGTTTTTATTTTCTCTGGGAAGGTGGCAGATGTGAGCGGGCGTGCAGTTTACCCTCACCCTCCCTCCTCTCCCACTGCTTTTTGTCCAATGCTCCCTCTAAGTCCCGTCCTGTGGAAAGATGGAGGTCAGGAAACAGGTCATAGCGGGGTCTTTCCAGACTATTCGGTGCCCCGCCATGTAAATATTTTACTTGTCCTGATTTAACCCTTTCTTTTCCGTAGCGCGACACTTACAGGGTTTGCAGACTGTCACTGGCCTCAGTTGTGTTGTGTACAGCTGTGTATCAGGGCACACTTGGGTTATGTCCATTCTAGGCCCTGGTTACTATATCATGCATTTTTTTATATTTAATTTTATTTATTTAACTTATTCCTGTTTTATCCTCCACTGCAGAATGTGGACAGTGTTTTATATAGACGCCGTGCTCGGCGGAGAAATACGTGTGTGTGTGTGTGTATGTCCTCTGTTGTTGTTTGTGTTTAGATTTGATCCCTCTTCCTAGGTACACCACCCAGGTCACACCTAACACTTGAATGTCATCAATCAATCTTGACTCTGCCCCCAAACTCCTGCAGTTGAAGTTCTCGCTGAATTGAAGTCAATGTGAATTTAGATTTGGAAAAGACTGGTGCATGGCAAAACAGTGTGCAAAGGAATGAAGCACATTTCTTGACTGGTGTCCTCTCCCTATAGTTGGATAGTCTTTTCCCTCAGTGTGTTGTGTTGGTGGCAGAATTGTGTTATATGTGACCTGCTCCAGATGACACCCAAAGCACAGGGGGGGGGGGGGCAGAACCACGAGCTT